CTATGTGAATGGGCTTCATCTTTATCAGTGCCTACAACTTTATTATCAATGAGAATTCTTGGAAATGAAGCCTTTTCAATCTGGAGATTGGTAAAGTTAGTTTATTTCATGAGGTTCTAAAAACTCATGGGCTTTTGCCATGGCCATCACCCCTAACATCAAAATAATGAGGTTATGTAGGCCAAATGGCCCAATATTTTTTTAGGTCACCTTTTTTCTAGATTTTGTGATAAAATTATCTTGCTATTCAAGTGAAAAGCAAATTGGTAATCATAAGTTTTTAGTACCTTATTAAATAGATAAAAAAGTTTTGTTCGACTCATAATTCCTACTTTATAAGTTATAACTTACTGGGAGAGGTTTGATTGTTTGATAAAATAATGTGACACAAATTAGTACTATTTTATTAAGCAGGATTCTTTACACCAATGGCCTAGGAGATATTAGTTATAAGTTAAAATGGGACTTAAAAGGGGTCAACCTGTACTTAATTACTAGAAACAAATAACAATCTGAAAAGTGACTATAAAGATATAGAGCACACAGTATGCTCTCTCTGAAGTTTAACATTGTAGCAGACTGGATCATATTGGAATTAATATATTTAAATAATTATATTGGATATTAATTTTTTTATTTCTTTATAAAACATGCCATAAGTTTTTGATATTAAAGAGTTAAAAATTAAATTAAATCATTATTATTTGTTTTATTTTTTATATAAGGCTTACTTTTTTCCCTCTTAACAATCTGGTAATTATGATCATAAAAAAATTGAAATTGGATTTACCTGTCTGTTTAGGCAACTTTCCAATATTAATTTGATAAAGGCAAATAACTCTAATGAGTTCTACATAGGCAACATTCGACTTCTTTATGAATTAGATTTTATCTGATCTGCCCTCACCAATCAAGCACAAAAACTTTTCACACTACCCTTATATACAGCTCAATACAAAAATTTTCCCACCATACATAATGGATATAGACATAATGCATACATGGGTTTTGCCATAATACATGTGATAAAGGACAAATAGATACATATTTTTATTTTTTCAAATTATCATTTAAAAAAAAACAAAGATAAAAAGTAATGTGGCATTCTCATTAATTCTATTAAATAATGTTTTTGGCTAAATCTGAATTGGGACAAAAATAATGACAGTATTAAGTCTTGGTATATCAACATTTCTCATTTCTTAAAGGAAAACATCAAATCAAATAAAGGTTTAAATAAATTGAAAAATTGTTTGAATACAATAAAATAGTTAAATGAAAAAAATCAAGGTTTTAATGAAATGAAATAACTAAATAGAAACATCAAAGTTTAAATAAATAGCAAATCTATTTGTTCAACTTATTCATAGTTTTTTCCTCCAATGCTTCATAGTTTTAAAGCAGAAGTGGGGTGTGGCGCAAAGGGTTTATGCATTTCTCTGCCACTGAAGAAACTCTTTTTTTCATTACTCTTTATTAGAATATATAGTTAAGGATATATGTATATATTTGGAAACAATAAAAGAGGTTATTCTGTGGTACAGCCCAGTGTACAGCTTCTCACATTCTGATGGGGCTACGCCTGTCCATCCTCCTTATGGTCCGAGGGCTATCAAACTTACCTGGCCTTCTTTTCTCCTTCTCCCTATTGCTCCTCTGGCTTTTCCGTGTCCGCTGGTCTTTGTGATGCCACTTCTTTCCCATCCGCCTCTTCTTTTACTCATCGCCGAGTGCTTTCTCCTCCCCAGGGTGAAGTGTGTAGGTAAATTTAGTATTTATGAATATACATTATATACGTATATTAAATCTGTCCATAAGATTCCTACACAGAAACACATTACAAATTTATTCTGTTATAAATTGAAACATTTGTTTCAAAAACTTTAGAAGACCTGAAATTGTGTTTTTATTTTTAGATTTAGTAGGAAGTATAAATAATTTAATAAGTTGAGAAAGGCAAGGATATTAAAATGAGTGGCATATGTAGCTCAGAGCAATCTATCAGGAAGTCTCTACACAATAATGAATGCCTCAATAGTTGGCTAGAGACCACATTGGAGGCTAAAAACAAGATAAATAGATCAAACTAATAAAGGTGCTGCAGATAATTGGAAAGTAATAGCCCAAAACAGATATGGAGAATGCTGGTTCAAGTAACCAAAGATCTATAGTCTGTAAAGAAAAAAATATATTGAAAAATAAAATCTTCCATAAATAATATATTATTATTATTAATAATAAGTTGACATTTTGGGATTGTATCCTCCTCAAAACATCCTTTGTACATTACAATCATAAAATTGTACATCAATCCAATCAAGAAAATTATTCAATCTTATTATTAAAATGATTAAAACAGTTGGTATAACTTGGCTATTACCTCACAAATTAAAATTGCAATATTTCAGTAGATTCTGTTTAGAAAAACAAAATATCAAGAGATTATAAAAAACAATAATAAACTATTTCTGGAACATATTATTCACTCAACCAATTTCGTGGTTTTATGGTTCTCCATAATTTCTATAAGGTTAGGTATTGAAATAAAAATAAATAGATGATAATGATTAAATAATTTATTTTTCTAACTTTGTGTATAAACTAGTTCACTAGTCGTTCTAGTTTTATACTTTTTCAGTACAAATGCTAGATGACATGCAAGCACATGTTTACATATGACACCTACTTGATTTTTCTTAACATTAGCTTTGAAGACAGGGCACTCACAAAAATTGATATGAGGGTATATTGTGTAAAATCCATTTGAACCTTGTACCTGAAACAATTGTCATACATTTTATGTAGTATTTTATCATTTATTTATTTTTTCTTTGAATATTAATCTGCATCTATCGACAACAATCAGCAGATGGTCTGATTAAAGTAATCTAACTGACATTACAGGCAAGGGGATAGATAGCCCCAGCAGTAACTCTTCCGTGGCTTGAATCAATTACCATGGTTTGTCAAGGAAGGATGTCTCTCATCCATCACCTTTTTAGTCTCCTCTTCATACAGACGGGCATGTCAGCTGAAGCCATATCTTTAATTAGTATGTTATTATGTCCGCATAAATTAATGTGAAATTGTTTGTAAAGAGTTCTTATGTGTTGGTCAACTGCAGGCAGGAGAAAGTCTGCATGCAAGGTTTCGTTTGTCACGTGCTTTAGTTATAAATTGTAATATTTTAGATCGAAAGTTTGGAGTTTGTGTAAGTCTTTTTAGCTATACTGTAAATCTGAAAGGAGTAATTCCATATTGGTTTAAGTAAGTATGGGTATGTATTTAGTTTCAGTCTCAGTTTGAGTTTTGAATATTTGGAAAAAGTGAGTAAAGTAGTTTTGAACCCAATAATCATAATGATCACAATAAATGTTCATTTAAGGGCATAAATATTACCAATTTTTATAAATTTATTCTGGTAATATTTTAATATTAAATATTGACTGTCATTATTTTGACATAAATTAAAACAGGATAGTTAATTTCAAACCACTTACAGAAAAATAAGTTCTATCTGTGTTTGCAATTGTCAGTAATTCTATGCATTCTTTGTCTATTAAATCCAATGCTTTGAAAAGTGTTTGGTCAAATATCTGGTATAACACAGTAATATCTTCATCTGCAACTAAAGTGAAAAAAGAAAATATTAATAATTAATTATACAGATATTAATATATCTTTGAAAGGGAAAGCAACATATCTTAAAATGGCAAATAATTCTATATTTTTCAAGATATTAATAAAAAAAATGGTAGGAAGACAATAGTAGTGGACCAAGAAGTTTAACAGTTGTTTCCTGTTAAATATAATGCTTTATTAATAAAGAAAACAGCTGTATACAATTTCCAGTCCAAGCATGATTCAAATATGAAGTGGATTGGACATAATTAAAATATGTATATCAGAGAAAGATCCATAACTCAATAATTAGTTTTCTTATGAACTTCCAAGTGCTATTATAATTATAGAGCCTAGATGAATTGAACCCGGGATGATAAAAACTCCAAAAGGAGCAATCCTGAAGAAATATTTTCTCACCACTGGTTCATGGTTAAAATAGGTCCCAACAGACAAATGGATTTTTCAGCTAATCACAGTACATAGGGGTTTTAAAGCAAAGTTCATTGAACATGGTAAGAACACCAATTTCCTGTTTCCCAGACCACCCAGTACATAATCGTAACTTGTAGCACTGCCTATAAGGTACTGAGGAACTAACTCAAAATAACTGGTCCGTCATAGAAAATAAATACAACAAACAATTCAAAATGTTTAAAAAACTAGAGTTGAGAGAGATTAGACAGTACTATACATGTCACCAAATGGTGGAATCTGGCCTCTCCCCCAAATAGGTTTTTGTCAGGAAGGGCGAGTTCAATTTTTACACCTCTTTTTTCATTTCATACTACCCCACTTGAATCTATCTCTTGAATCTAGAAACTATCATGAAAAGAAATGTTTGGAACATTTCATCTTTCCATCAAGTGGGGAGCTTTGGTATTTTTTTCAATAAGAATTTAGGATAAGTAAAATGTAAATTGCTGCTAGCCAGGAAAAAACATGCATCAGTATAGTGATCTTGACCCTAATATAAAGTCAGAGAATAGAAAAAACCACACAAGATAATACTAGTAAAAACTTGGCGAGAAGGCCAGTCACATTGCTGTGCTCCTTGAAAGTAAGGTAGCAAATACAAATTTTCAGTAATAATTCATCCCATAAAAATATTTCACAGTTACAATTTTACTGATTTAAAAAAAATTCACACAGCCACCAAGGATTTCTCATTTATACTTATTTTCTAATTTATTCTCAACTTAGAAGTTGTGCGGCACCAGTACTTTTCTCTTTTTTTATAATAAAATGATGCTAGCTGAGGTGAATTCTTGTAGCATAACAGTAGTAATTCGCATTTAAATTTTAACACATATAAGTACAATAAAACAAAAATTCCTTTTTCAACATTGAGTTATCCTTCAGTTTGGTTCAATAACTGACTTTCACACAAATCATTATCAGTCTTTCAATGACAACACTAAAAAAAGAAAAAGAAGAAAATTAAATTAACATAACATGCATGTAAGTTAATTTAACTTACTTTCATTATCATTATCAATTATTTTTTTACAAACAGCATCCAATGTTATGGTTTTCAAGCCACCTCTACAAGAATTATATAAAACTTCCATTTGAGGACTGTACTTAAAGTAAAATAAATTTTATTATACAATGTTCAACCAACAAAAATATGTCTATAACCAGAACACAGTCAGAGGACAAGATAATTCTTAAGAATACATGTTAAAGAATCTATAACAAAATTAGGTAAAATACTTTGGTAAAGATAAAACGATTCAAATGCTGATAATGAAGTTGCTCCAAAAAATCTAATAGTCGTTCAGGAATCAATCGTTAAAAGATTAGCAATAACTGAAAAACTAGATTTTTTTTTACTTCCAAGATTTTGAAACAAATACTGCCAAAAATTTATAATCTTCTCAATAACGTGGTTAGATATGAATGCCAGTTTGATTACAGTGTAAATTTAGTTCAGTCGCTTGAGATTCCCATTTCAGTAGTACTTGAATTTCTAGCAAACAGGAATATACATTTCCGTAGATTATTTCAAAAAATTGATACCAATTTTTACAATTAACTGATCTGAAAAGATGTAATCCTATTTATTAAATAAATCAAGGCAATTATTGAGGTTTTGATCCTCTTGCCTTACACTAGCTCTCTTAGTGTAACTCCCTTCGGAGTTGCCATCCATCGCCGGTTCCATTGATCAACTGTGTCCTCCCTGATAATTCTTTTCCATCTTCTTGTGTCTTCTTCAATTCTCATCTTTAGATGTTCCGGTAGATCCGCCGAATCCTCTCTTTTCATTTAAAAGAGGTAATAGTCTTCTCACAGGAGGAGATCGAGAGGTGTCCCCTCTGCCAGTACTTGCACTGCCTCATGAGATATGGTTCTATAGGCTCTAGTAATCCGAAGTAAATCCAATCTCTGATTCGATGATAGTCTACTCTTCTGTCGGTGAGAGAGGAGTGCAAGTACTGGCAGAGGGAGGGACACCTCTCGATCTCCTCCTGCGAGAAGACTATTACCTCTTTAAAATTAAAGGAGAAGGTTCGGCGGATCTAAAGATGAGAATTGAAGAAGACCCAAGAATATGGAAAAGAACTATCAGGGATCAATGGAACCGAGGATGGATGGCAACTCCGAAGAGAGCTACCCTATGAAAGTACTTACCCACGGTCAAGTCACGATTAGATGCAAGATTGATCCTCCCGGATTACTGGCTGTCTCAACTCCTCACGGGACATGAGGGGTTCCGAGCAAAGCACGTTAAACACGGGAAGAATATTGATCAGCTATGTCCCAACTGCAACGTTCCGGAGACCGCTGAACGTATGGTCGTCGAAAATATTACCTACGAGGCACTAAGAGCTAAGCTCCTGAGAGAAACGGAGATATATACACTGATAGAGAGAATGTTCCCCCAGCAAATGAGTAGATAGAATTACCCACATTACAGGGGGAATTCGTATACGGGGGAAAAGAGACTGTATGCTCTACACATTTTAATCTGGGAAGAAGAGAAGGAAGTTAAGAAAAGCTGCAGCTGCTTCGAGGACCGGCTTTAGGTGGAAGAATGGAGAAAAAGAAAGGTATGGGCTTGTGCACACAATCAAGTCTACACCGCATCAATAGCGGATCCAGGATTTGATTTTTGGGGGGGGGGAGCTTCAGTCCGAAAGCTTTTTTAAAAATAAAAATGACGATAATTACTTTTGAAAAAAAATAAGAAACTAACTATCTATATGAAATGGTGTTTAATTGATTTCTTAAATCCTTTTAAATGTATTTACACGAACAATAATACTTTAAGAGATAATTTTTTAATATATTTTTCCATAAAACATGGTTATATTTTACCATGTTGGGGGGGGCTTCAGCCCGAAAGCTCCCCCCCCCCGTAAATCCGCCCGTGCACCTCATAAATAATAATGTTAACAAAATTTTAATTTACCTATACTGCCAGCAATGGCATACGCATACTGCTGCTACAATAGTGCCTGTAAGGCAAGGCAGGGAGAGGAAAAAAAAAAAAAGTTCCTCTTGCCTTTATGCCTTTGCAGGGGCTTATTTTATATGAACCACTGTAAATAAGTCAATTTTTCTAATACATTTATGTATTGTATAAAATATTATCTACGAAACGTAGTCCATGATTATATATAATTAGTATAAGACTGAATGAAGTAATCTAAATCTGAAAAAAGTAATTCAACATGATTTATTAGTTTGTCTGTCATATTAAAAGTTGCTTTTAGACATTTGAAGGTGTGTTTAGATATTTCACAAGCTATGGGAAACACAATTATCTAACTAATGTAACAGCGAAATCCTTACTAAACTAAACTATGTATTTTATTTTTCTTGATACTGACAGTAGATGAGAAATATCAAAAACAAGAAATAAAAACACTGTTCGTCCCATTATTTATGAAATATCTAAACGCACCTTAAGATATTCCTGGTATGTCTTTAGCAGAATTCTCATGTTCATTGTTTAAAGGGTCTTTGGTGAGAAACCAGTCTACAGAAAATAACCACACAGTTCATATTTTTCATTGTTCACTTTGGCTTAAGCGTTATCTTCTTTCAGCATTAGCGTTGGCACTTCATAGTGCTTCAGTAATTTCTTAGTACTTCTCGACAAACTTCTAGCATTATTGAGAAACATATTTCAAATATTCGTCTGTTAGAAACTAAGGATTTAAAGGTTTTTTTTTCGTATGTTATTTAATTGTCTTCATTGCTGTATTTCATTTAAATGCTGATTTTCATTTGAATGCGAAAATACTATTTGTTATACAGTTTACAAATAGAGATAGTAGTTCTCTTGAATCTGTTCTAATTCATTTTATACTACAGCGAATAGATTGGGAACATACTATTTTGTGTTCAAGATCTGATGTGGATCATGAGGGCACCTGTTCATTATATCAAAAGCCTTCTAACTTGCACCATCTAAACCTCATCTAGGCGTCCTGTGTATGTACTTCATTTTCTTGGTAAAGAAGAAGACAAGTAAAGTTGTTACCATCAGTCTTGAACTCGGCGATTCAATCAAGTACACATAAAAATTAAATTTTATCACCACATAGTTTTTAATTATAAAGCAATAATTGCTTTATCTACCAAGCCTATAAATATCAACTCTCTCTAATGAATAACAAACACTGAATGTTTAAGGACGGAACTGAGCTCACTAGTTTGGTCTGTTTTTGCTGTTGACACCAAGAAAAGACGCTGTCATTCCATAATGCACTACTGAACTGTTTTTTAAAGAACGAAATATGTGAAGTTTGCTAGAAGTGTTTGCTTCTTTTTTTTTCGAATAACTCCTACCTTCGAGAATGCGACTACATTCGATGGTTGAAGGTGTCGCTAGATTCGAGAATGATAATCCGAGATTTAGTGCACTCGTCCATTATGACTTTGAAGTAACTTTTCTTCCATTTTATTTCAACTGTTAACTCAAGTTGGTTTCCTAGATAGCTGAAAGATTGAACTCTTTCAAATGTATATTTTCTTATAGGAATATATCTCTCATACACTTCACATTTAGATAAGGTGCACCTGTACCATGTTTTTTACTCAAATACCAGGAGTGCTAAGGCTATCCCCTGTCTGACTCTTGTTACAGTGTAAAATCCTCTCAAGTTTCCTATTCATCGATAAGGAAATTGACTCCCATCATCATCCTTACTAGGCTAGCCAGCTTTAAGAGGATATTCATGTCGATTATCGGTTTCTGAAATGATAGACATTAAGTATAAGATGAGAATATAACCGGCGCACTTCAACTGAATATTTAAGTCCAATCGGTATAATGAAGCTTGTTGTTAAATTGAAGTAAGATGAATCTTGTTAAAAAACGAGTTTAACCCCGTTTAATCTTCTATTATTAAGGTGATGAGCTATATCCAATGAAAATGAATTGTAACCTCATGATTAATGTCACCTACATATTTTTTTTAGGAATATTAGGATACATATTTTAATTTACCAAGCCTTTTCATTTTGATAATTGAATTTTTATTCAATTGGTAATTTTTTCAAGTAAAATAAATTTTTATATTCGTTGTATCGAAAAAAAAATCGATGTATTCATACTCTAGTCTAAATTGTTTAGTTATTACTTCGATTCACCTTAAAAGTGAAGTTTGACAGGTTCGGACGTGTTCGAGGTTTAATTATTTACTTCAGTTGTGTCAATTGAATTGATGTCAAGAAAGAAGCGTAAGAGGGTTCTAGTAGAATAACCAAAGGTAAGTTATTTACAAATATTATCGTTTTAAATATTTTTTCTGTTGTAGAGAGACCACGTGCCTTAAGGTTAACTTGAAAATCTCAGCGTATTGTAATATATCTAGAACATTACTACATATACTATATGTCTTCATATTAATCCTTAAATGTTTTATTCTCAGATTTAAATGTCTATTGTAAGTACGAAAAAGGAGTGTAATACTCCCTCTGGATCCTCTCAAAAAGTTGTAAGATTTAAGTTAAATTATAACTTGAAGTCATCACTCCTAAGGTTCGCAAATGATAAGGACAGTAATTTATATGAAGAGTTATTATGTCATATTAGAGATGTGGGACAAGAAATTAGGGTGAGTTATGTTAATTGTATTCTTTATTTAGTGAATTTTTATTTTTCCAAGTTTGTGATACCTCTAAACATTACTCATAGAATATTCTCATTTTAGGATGATGATTTAACTCAACTACTAAGAGAAGCAAGAGGTTGCATATCGATCATTGACGGGAATTTTAGGCTTTTTGTCCAAGTTGTCTTGGTATGTATACATATGTTTCCGAATGTTTAAATTGTTCATTGTATTAAATCATGGTGTGGCTATCATTTATTTCTTTATAGTTATAATGATGTTAAAAGTGTTATAGTTATATGTTATGATAAAAGTGAAGTGATGTATTCGAATCCGTGGATTCATTCCTGAAGTATGTTTTCATAGATTCCTCACTAACAATCTCAGTTGGTTACAAATTTTATGAAAATATCATGTTGATATCTTTAGGCACTACATTTCATCATTATTGATAATTTTGTTAACTTGCCTTATTTAAAATAATTTTAATTTAAAGATGAAGGTCTAAAATAAATAATAAAAGGAAATGTTGGTCAATTTAGAGATGAGATACACTGTTTGGAAATTATAAGTCAACTGATACTACTTGGAGTTAAAACAGTCCAAACTCCTACTTAGGAGGGTGTGAAAACGAATGGAGTAAGTTGAGGATTGTGGACTTCACCTCAAGCCCGTCCCCACTCATTGTGTTGTCTTTATTATTTTTGCAAAAAAATGCTATAAATCTGTATTAGTTCAATTTATTAAATATATTATGTTTAAATTTATCAAACTACAAATTTTGTGTGAAAAGTGAGGTAGTTCGTACTAGTATTTGTCATTCTTGGTGACTGTCGGAGACTTGGGTCTGCACTTAACAAAATTAGCTGAAAATAGAGAAATCAATATATTCCTTTTTGAACTCTTACCAAGAATTATTTGAATCAGCGTGTACGTAAATCCAATGGAAATACATGAATAGACCTTATGTTTATTATCATTTATCTTTTTTCATTTTTCCAACATTGTGCAATCTTCTTATAGATGTTCTCTTTTACTTTTTAGTTAATAGCAAGGGCTTTAATGAACAAAGAGCACCTGTGACAATAAATATTGAATTATATTTATCTTAAAGATGTTATGTCCTTAAATTTTGAAAAAAAAGCTGTATACTATTTAGTTATTGTTCTATGGTTAGACTACAAGATCTTTGTGTTTGTGATTTAATATATTATGAATGCCAACTACTTAAAGAATAATATTATTATGGTGGTTAATGCTAAATGTTACAGCAACTTATTTGTTATAACAGATTTTACGATGGACTCAACGTTCAGAAGAAGTCATTCAAGAATATCAAGGGTTTTTACAGGATTTGTGCTCTGCACACAATTATTATACAAAGGTAGTTATCGATCACCTAACGACTTCCTTTAAATCAGGTAACTATTAAGAATTGATTAGACTTCTAGATATTGTTTGTTCTATTTATGTATATTTCTAATTAATGAGAATTGTTTTAGATCAGTATGACTGGATTGACAACTTCCCATCTGACAAAAGCGTAAAATGTTTCAACAATTTACACCAAGTTATTCAATCTATTTTGGCCGTCATCCCTATGTAAGATAATTTATTCTGCTATTGATCAAATCATCCAAAATAGTAACTCATTTTTAACTTAGCTCTCTAAATTATTTTCAGGTCAAGAGAATTGCTTTTAAGCTCAGTCAAAAACAACTTTCCCTATCTGAAAAAACCTGCCAAGGAACATCAGTGCTATGTTTATAATGTTCTACAAATTTCTCAATATGAACCTTCTATTCGTTTTGAATTATTAACTGCCATCATAAACAAGTTAGTTAACAATCTTCTTAAAGATTTAAACATCATTAGAATATATTCATTTTTAAATTTAGTCTAATCAAACAAAAAACAAAAACAGGATGCAACTATCGAATATGTATTGGTGATCCCACAAAATACTAATTGTCAAAATTTCTATTTATTAATACTTCTAAACTGCTGTGCAAGATGTAATAATGTGTTATTTTTATAAACTTGGCTTTTCCCATTGTTTTGTCTTATCTTTTAAATTTTTCCGCAAAGTCTCTTTGAATTTTTTGTTAATATCACTTATCTCTTAATTTTCTGTTTTATTTCTTGTTTTGTTAGATATTTTAATTCAATGAATGTGAAGGATGCTGTATCACTTTTGATTCTGCAGGAATGACTTGTTATTATAATTAACAACTTGTTTATATTTGTGATATCATGGTGCTTAGGCTAAAATGTATCATCATAGGATTTAATAAGGATTCCTTTAGGGATTTTTCTTTAATCTCTTTATTTATTGACCATTCTATTAACTGTTACTGTATCCTGAATACAGTACTTGAAATTTGTGATAGTTGAATCTAAATCATATTTATAAACTTATGTTTGCTTTATAAAAAAAGGAGGATCCTATTAGTCCTTGGTAACAGAGGCTGGGTTGATAACAATAGTGTTATTTTATAATGAAATATTTTGACAGTAGATCAAATAGAGGAAGTTGGTTGGGGTGCGGTCAGAGATTAAATTACACAATTAATAATTCTTAATTTTTTATAGTGTATTGATGTTTCAGCCTTACAATTTAGGACTTCATTAGGGCGCTTCGTTTGAAATCTTCAAACCAATTGTGTTGTTTTATTATTGATTTTTAAAAATCTTTTTTCATCTCTATCCAAAATTATGACATTTTAGTTATTATTTTATTTGGTTTGGTGATTATGAAACATAAACTGATAAATCAGTCAAATGTTTATTTATTCAACATTTGTTGGTTTTAGTGTTCCGCAGGTAGAGGGTGAGGGTTCACTAGTATGTATTCGATATCTTAAACAAAAATGAGGTTGTCAAATTTTATTATATACTTCTAAAATATAAAATCTTGAGTATTGTAATAAGTTGAAATTTTTATTTATCAAGAAGCTTCAAACATTATTTTATTTTCATAAATAATTATTTTTGTTTAAATTTTAGTATAACTAATGGGAAAAACTGACTTTCTCTGATATAATTTTCTTCTATTTAAAATTTAATATTTTTTTTCTTTGATACTTTAGTTATGTTATTCATTGCTATGATTTTTTTTTTCAAAAGTAATAACTTGACTGGGTTTTATGTAGGTTTTTTTATTGTTTTTCAAACAGATTTATATCAATTTCGAAATTATTTATACTATTGTCTCCTTTCAAGAGGTGAAAAGAAATTGTATGTGAACTTGAATGATTGATGATTTCCCAAACTTCTGAAATATATATTTATTTAAATTAAGCTGAGCTTTTTATATATCAAGAGGGTTTAAAAAATATTCCAGTTTTGTAAAGATATAATTTATTTATTATTAAAGTATTAAGTAACCCAGAATGGGAAAGATCTGCATTGATATCATTCTTTCTGAGTTCATAACTTAATTGTTACTTTTTCAATGGGACTTTTGATATGTTATTCACTATTTAGATTTGTTTTAAAACAAATTAACTTGAATAGGTTTATCTTTTAGAACTTATTCATACCAATTTTGAAATTATTTATCATAATGCCGTATTTTGGAAAATAAAAAGGTTATGATGTATTTCAAGATAATATAAATACCTTATTACAGTAGTTTAGGTATATTTATTTTTTAAAATTTGGAATGCTGATTTAGGCTATTCCATTTCATTATTTATAGACAGTGTCTATTAACCCTAATTTTTGTTTTCAAATTTTTCCCCTTATCAAAGGGCTAGCTGCCGTAACAGTGTCAACATTCTTTAAATGAATTCTCTGGGTTAATCCCAGACGCCAAGAAATATTCCCTTTCTATCCTGGTTCATTTGATCAGAACTGGGACCTTGTCGGGAAATTATTGGAGGTTCCAGGATTATTTGGGTAAGATCTCATGGCTGTTTGGTATGTGGACTACCTCAACTGATTTTTGTAAAGGTAGGAGTTTTTAATGATTTACAGCAGTCATTAAAATTAAGTATAGAATATGTTAGAGCAAACTTATAAAATAATTACTTTTCCTTTTCGTTTTAGCTAAGTTGAATGTAATATTATTTGTTATAAATCTGCATTATATTATTTAATCAATGTCAATCAACCAATCAATTATTTAATCAACCAAACCAGCGTTTCCTTGCCGAAACTTTTGTATTTCTAAAATTAAATAACATTATAGTATGCATTTAACGAGGGCTTACCAGTATTCCTTCGATAGAAATTGATGTCTCAGAAACAATTTACTTATTTTGACAGAAGATTCGGTGTTGTGATTACATTAAGGTATCATGTAAATCGAGCGTACTTTTTATTTGCCCTCATATAAAGTGATCAATATAGTCTGTTATTCGACATTTGTTTATGCTAACCATCCCGACCGGATCTAATTTTGCAGGCTTATATAATACTGTATTACTACAATCCATGTTATTTTCAATTAACATTATTTAGTAGTCACGTGAAAGAAATATTTAATTGTTATAATATAGAGTAATCATTTATTTTCGATAGTGTTACCTATTACAAGATTGTGTTGCTTTTTTAGGCTTATTACATTAGATGTTCATTCACCAAGAACAGAGCTTGAACATGAAGAAGATGATAAAATGGAAGTTGATGGAGTTTTCCCACTTGATAAAGTTTCATCTGATTCTGAATCCTCAGTAGCTGAAAGTTTAGATTTAAGCCTCCTATTAGTTTTTAAATATCTAATGTTGGAATGTCATAACGATGATGGAACTCTTTTATGGGATAAAACAAAGTCATTTTATTCTGATTTATCTAAAGTAAGTTAAACATTGGTGAAATCATTCCATAATAATCTATTAACTCTATATTATTGAAATATCTGTCATTAAGATTATTTCTTATATTTTTAATTGTTGCTATTTTGTTTTCAGTATAGTTAAACATCAGTTATTATATGAATTATCTATTAACTACCCTTTATTAACTCACTCACTATCATCTTACTTTAAATGGGTTTGGGTCAAAATTGGCTCAAAAAATTAAAATTTCAGTACACCACAAAGGCCCTTTTAAATAAAGAGTTCAATACATACTGACTTACCTCAAAAGACACATCAGCAAATACCTTTTGTAATTAGTTTCCACCGCCCTCATCATAGAACAGCATTTCTGGCAGTTCTTAAACTTGTAATATTTAATTTGATGAAGTAATTAATCTTATCACAAAATATTCCATTGAACATCTCTTATCTCTGTCACAATCCAACAAGAGAGCATATTATGGGATATTCTTGTGTTATACTCTTTTTCTACGAAACTTGGCTAGTTTTTAAAGAACCAACTAAAATTACAAAGTGATAATAGATCTTGTAAGCGGAAAGTGTATAATTTGAAAACTGTATGAAAATTTTGGCTATGGAAATCACAAGCTGTGATAATATTTATGATGTGGATAATATTTATAACAATTTTATGAAAACCTTCGACGAAAATATTGGATAGGACCATTTCTTTAATTTTGCTCGTGGGGAATCATTGATGCTTGAAACAGAAAATGGTTAGTTGAATCTTCTTATTAAGACAGAGAAAGTAAATTTATTTGAATTATGTTAGAAACAAACAAGGCCGTTTAAAATTTTGAGAAATAATATAATAAAGGTATTTTGTGCAATTGGACAAACCACATAGTCGTTTCTATTCAGAATTAGCAAATAGGAGAAAGGATTTTCTGTGTGATGTATTCTTTCAACTACGCAAGGCACAACAATTCAAGTCACCTTATGAGAAATCTACAGCTAAACGTCAGAAATTAAACCAAATTGCGGATGCATTTGCTTTAGCTCTTGAAAATAAAATAAAAAGAACCCAATATAGTATGTTAATTTTGTGTATAGCTAACACTCCACTCATTCTTGAGTTCAGTTTTAATATGCACAGTTCTGGAATGTCTGAAAATAAAATTATGAGTTGAAATAAATATCCTGAGCTCTGTAATCCATTACTGGATCTTTGCTGCCTCTAGAGTTGCCTTTCACTCTTCTCTATTCCTGAGTTCCAAAAAGTATAATCTTACAATATAATTACATAATTTAATTATGATCACAATCCCATTTAATCTTCCTTTAAATTGATTTGTTGTATAATTGTCACATCATAGGCCGGGTGAGGTCTGTAAGATTGCACTGGTTAAACTGTGGATCTTTCCTACTCAACTAATGAGCATTTATGAGTCCCCTACCTGATAGCTTATACTCATACAAAAAAATAAATACATAAACAATGATGTATCTGAAATTTCTCCTTATGCTTACTTCTTGATTTTGCAGTGGGACTATCCTGAATGGAACATATCATGGGGCCGTGCCCATACTTATAACTGGTAATTCTCCTAACCAAAGTTCATATATTATGAAATCCTAATATATTTTAAATCTATCATAGCATAATATCTATGAGTTTCTGTAGAATTTAATTATGGTTTTGATAGTAAACTGTCACATTACTGTTTTGACTGTTTGAGTCTTAGATAAAATAAAGATTTGACATCCTTATTCAAAGAAAATTAAAGAGAAAAATCATATTTAGTAGTATTTTTGTTAGTTTTAACATTAATAAAAATTCTATATATAAATATGAAAACTATAATAATAATAATCGTATTAATTATAATATTATTCATAAATATTCTGTCTTTGTTTCAGATTTTTGAAGATGTCATACTTCCTACTCATGCTACACATCATGTACAGTTTTTAATATTTTATTTTCTCAGTTTTAAAAAACCAACTCTAGGTAGCAATTTCCTGCAAATGTTATGGAAAAAAGTATCAAATGCAAATGTTCCTCCAGTTATTCGACAAGCTTCGGTGTGCTATATAGCTAGCATTCTTACCAGAGCTAAATATATTTCACTTTTGTAAGTTATACTTTTTGTCATATTTAATTTTTTATAAGAGTAATTTCAATAAAAAAATCAGTTCAGCTACCTTTTTAAGCTGGTCATTGTTTTTTTTTCCAAAGGATATGAAAACATTTTTTTTTTTAAATTATTTCTTAATGATATTTACAACTGTATTAAAGAAATACATCTAGTAAATTTTAACGTATGGATATAATGACTTGAAAACACTTGCTGAGTAACTACCCAATGCTAGCACTCTCATGATATGTCTACATTAGGAGACCACGGGGGCATCTTCTTTTCAGACGCCTCGGAGGGTTATAAGGAATTGAAGAAGAAGCAAGATTAGAAATGAGAGGGTTGGAATGATTCTGAAGTTTATTATAGAAGGATAGGTATCTGGATTGTTCCAGATCTGAAACATTAAGGTCATTATGGATGGTTTTATTTGTTACCAAGTAGGGAGCATTGGGGATTTTATGAAGGAATTTGGATTGTAAGGATTTGATACGAGAGGAATTCGATGGTTTATTGGAGCCCCATAGCTCAACTCCATAAGTCCAAATAGGCCTTATTATAGTCATGTATATGAGTCTTTAAATTAATTGGAAGTTTAGAGCGTTTGTCTAGTAAGTGCTGAAGTAATCGGAAACGTTGAGCGGTTTTAGTCTAGTATGATATGAAAAACAAATGTACAATTTCATTATTAATTTGGTGATGTATTATTCATCCTAGTTGAATGAAGAAAGATGTTCATTGTTTTAGTATGCTCTACCATGTAATGACTGAGCAGTGTATGCTAAGTATGTGATTCATTATATGCTTGCTTACCATTAAACTAATTCATTCGAAAGTCAATGAAACAATCTAAAAATTCAATTTAATTTTGTTTGAGATTTTAAATCAGATTTAATGACTTTTTAAAAATAACTTTTAAGTTTAATGTTTCTGTATTCAAGTCTATGCTGATTATGAGAAATACTTAAGCTATGTTTAAGAAACCATTACACTAAAAACTATTTAATGTATACTTTATCACCAATTTGATTCTTATAGCAATAATCATCCATTCGGTTATCTCATATTATATTTTGTGGCCTGTAATCAGTTTTTTTATCTAAGTTCATTTTTATCCTTATTTTATTTGTATTAGTGGTCTTGAAAGCTTGAACTCATTAAAAGACTTGAGTGAGGATTCCGTATAGTGCAACCTTTTATAAATTGTCAGAACCAATGAGATTTGTTTATTTTGAATTAAACTAAATATCTAAAAGCAATAAAATTAAATTTTAAAAAAATGTGATCTTGTTTTGTCCCTTCTCCAAATTTTTCCATTAAAATTTTGTTTAATTATTCATAATATTTATGATAAATATATCTCTCGTTCATTATTTACGTTTCCAGTACTTTAGTTCAAACTTCGTCATAGACTTTACAATATCTCAATTTTCTATCTAACTATTCTATTTGCAATATCTTAATTTTACTATTTATTTTCATTTGTTATATAACTTCATATTCCTTTTTGTCTATTTTACATTTTATTCTAAGATTCCCATTTTAATACTTATGTCATCTTTTTTTATTATGTTTACTTCATCATTCCACACTTCGTAACGGTTATTATTATTTATCTCTTAGTTCTTACTTTTGTCATTATTCTACCAACTTCGTTTTACTTTAATTTTTTTTTTACTTACTCATGTTTCTAATACCTTGTTATCTGGTTCTTTTCTTAGTCCTGATGAAGGCCTGAACTTCATGTCGAAACGTCGGCAAAGGTCAAAATAAATATTATCGTTTATTTTTGCCTTCTTATTTCTGAATGATCACCCCAACTATTCTTCTCTTCATTGATTTAGTTTCATTTCCATCAGGGAGTATTCAACTGTCTAATTGTCTCATTTATTTTATCGATCAGTCAATGACATTAATATTGGATTTTTTATTGATTCCATGGACTTAATAATCCTTAAGGGGTTCAGAACTTGGTGAGGAAGTACTGTTTCTATGTCAGTGGTCGTGCAAATAAGTGATTTGACCATGCTTAACTTTCAGATTTCCATCTAATTAGTGTCCATTTTAAAAAGACTAGGTATGCTCCACAAGTTTCTCATAGCCCACAGGGTCAATCCCCAACTGATATAACAGAATATATAATTTATAGAATATATAATTACCTGTTGGACTCGTACTCAGGCCTGTTTTTATTTTTAAATGTTTACTTCTTTTTTAAAATTAATCTACTTCACTTCCATTCAATAGAAACTAAAAATAAATTTTGTTTTCAGAGTTGTCAAGGACTTGGTTTCAGAAATGGCTAACTGGCTACATTCTTACATAGATAATCATGATGGGTCCAGCGGATGTCAAGATAATAGGATTCATAGCGTCTTCTATACTACATGCCAGGCTTTGTTTTACATAATAGCATTTAGACACAAAGATTTAGTGGAAAATAAGGGTAAGTAATTATTCCTACCAATTATGAACATAAATTATTTTTTTAATTGAACAGTACATAGAGCAGGTCTATGTTTCGATTTTCTTCAAAATTGAGTTATAAATGGATTGATTAATCAGGTTGAAGGTGGTAGAGAAAGGTTCTATTCTGAAAAGAATTTGTTAGAAAATCAGCTATTTATACCGGTTGAAACTGTCAAGTTTCTTGAGCAAAATCTTAAAGAAGACATTGTAGTTCAGTTCTTTGATTTTCAAACATTAGGAGATCACTATGGTCCTTACAGTAGACTTGTTTACACAGTTAAGTTTCCTGATCAAAGTCGTAATGAAGATATTGTTTTGTGAACATCTTTTTCCGCTTGGTTTGCCAGAATAGTAATCTCAATAATTAAGGATCCAATCAGATATTTTGATATTTGAAGTATAAAATTACATAATTCAAACAAAGGATGACGAAATCAGTGATTCCGTGATACAAAATCCTGCCACATAGAATGGTTTGAAGAATATCATTGTATGCTTGTTGAATATGAGCAGCACTGTTATAGTTCAATAAAAATTTTCAATATACTGGAGCGATTTGGTCTAGCAACTTATCAAAACCCGTTTACTTGGTTAATTTTGTTGAACATATCTTTGAATATTTTCTCTTGTTCAATTTTTTTGAATTTCTGTTTCTCTATTTTCTGTAATAATTATGTAATTTATATATTAAAAATATATATTGCTCACTTCACTATCTTCCTCAATATAGTTCATAACTTTTAAAAAAAATTTCTTATAGTATTGAAGAAAAGTTGGTTGAAATAAATATGATTAATTTATTTTTATTAATTTCTCTTAAATATATCTTCTACAGTTTACAATTATGTTTTATCTGAATCAAATATTTTGAATTGAAGCTGAAAGTTATCTACTGTGTTATGTTTTTCGTGTAGTATGAGAAGATGTTAACTTGACTTTATGCTGGGCTATCTTGTATTTTCTAAGAAAATTTTTATTTATAATTTAATTATTTTTCTCGTTTTTATTTCAGGTTTGCTGCATCTTCAAAATCTTGGCCTCTCAAAAATTGTCACATGTCGATTAAACCCTTTACGATATTGCCTTCCTGTAGTTGTTTCAAATTTTGCTTCTATCGCAAGGTCTTATCAGTTGGCATATTGTTATGCTATAATTGAAAGAAATTCTAGAAACGTATTGCCTGTTGAGTACAGGGACTCAGCAGGCTGTATGTCTGGTCTTACAAAGGTCCATTTTGACACATTCTTCCCTTTTGATCCTTATCTTTTGAAAAAGTAAGTATTTTAATGCATTATTAACAATTTATATTGTAAAAGTCTTTGACAATAATAATATTATTATATTAAAATATTATACTCTATAAAGTAAAATTACACACAAATTTTTTTTTATTTTGTAAATTAACTTCAAATACTTGTTCATAAGTGCATAGCTGATTTGTAGTGTAGCTATACTTAATCAGTACCTGTATAGGTATTTTCAACTGGGTAACTGGCCCTACCTATACCACTAATAATCCATGAAGGGTCTTGGGTTCAGTACAATGTGAGGAAGTACTGTTACTAGGCCAATGGTTGTGCAGGGAGGTGACGGGCCAATATCACGCTCAACCGCCAGGTTTTCTTCCTTAATAAAGAGTACCCACTTAAAATAGGCTGGGTCTGTCCCAGGAGGGTCTCCCTGCCCCAGGAGCCAACCCATGGCTGATGAAAAATTACTGGTGATCAACCGAATTCGAACCTGGGACCTTGAGTTCTGGAAGTAGTCAGTGCTCACTCACTGAGCTACCCCTTTCCCTAAAGGGCCAGTTTAGTTTCCAACTGGTCCTACAAACCAACTAATATTTAAGAGAAAGGAGATGGTCCGGTGTGGTGGTTACAAAGAGACTAAAATAGTGAGAAAACTATTTTATTTCAAGCCAACGTTTCGACCCGACTTTTCAGGTCTTCTTCAGGGCTAGAAACGGAAAAGATACACAAGTATATAGAAAATTTTTGAAGTTACACAATGTTTAGATAAATATTACAAACAAGATGAATAAACTTATTGAAATTATAAACAGTAAGTACAATGAAATATTGAGAACAATAAACCATATAAACAGAGTAAACTAAGTAACAAGATCCTAAACTGATGTTAATGAATGGTAACAATTGTAGTATAATATATGCAATTATGAATATACTACAGATCTCAAGGAGAGATTGGAAGAAAAGGATATGATTAATAGGATTCTGTTCCATGTGGATATGGATGGATTCGGAAATGAGTCTTTTTCCCACTTATTACAACTCCTTAGCACATCGCTTATATGGACTCCTCCCAAAAATTCATAAAACAGGAAATCCCCTCTGCCCTGTCATCTCCATTATAAACGCCCCCTTAGCTAAACTCAGCAGATTCCTTCTATCCTCTCTCCTAAAACTTAGCTACAATAATCCTTATGATATTAATAATTCATTTTACCTCAAAGAAGAGTTGTCTTCTCTCCTGACAACTTTATCCTCGTTTCCCTAGACGCCGAAAGCTTATTTACCAACATCCTAATAGATAAAGCCTTCCACATTGTACAGAAAAACTGGACAATCATCGAAACTCACCTCATACCTTGAGCTTTGTTACAGATCCGGAAACCTCACTTTCCAAGGTAAATTCTTCAACCAGATTTCAGGTCTAACCATGGGAAACTCTTTAGCACCTGATATTTCCAATATTGTCCTTAATGACCTTCTAGACTCCATTATCCATTCTTTCCATCAAGATATCATTTCCATTAAAAAATATGTCGATGACCTCTTCCTTGTTCTTAACTCTGACACCTTCCTTTTCTTCCAATCTTTCCTTGAGATCTGTAGGAGTATATTCATAATTGCTTATATTATATTCTTCTATTATTTCAAAGTGCTTACTGTTTATAATTTCAGTAAGTTCACCTTGTTCATAATATTTATCTAAATATTATGTAACTTCCACAATTATCTATATCCTTTTGTATCTTGTCGGTTTGAGCCCTGAAGAAGACCTGCAAAGTTCTTCAAAGCGTTGGCTTGAAATAAAATAGTTTTTCCACTATTTTATTCTCTTTATAAGTTCCACCTTTCCACCTCCTTCCTCTAAAATATACAATGATCAACCATTAAGTATTCAATCAACTAATATTTAATGTGGTAGATTTAGACCTAAACAAAAAAACTGATTGTTGCTCATACATGGATTGGTACTTATTGGTCACTTGCAATAAATAAGTGGGAATAACTCTCTTTTGTCTACTGAGGAACTGTATGCCTTGCAAGCAACTTTGTCCCAAAAAATTAACCAAGATTTTATGTGATTGACTTAAACAAAAATTGTGATTGCTTATTTATTGCTGACTATTGATCCTGATTACAAATAAGTTACAATAACTCTCTCTCTTTTTTTTTTTTTTTTTTTTAATAAAGCACGTAAACCTTTTTTTATTGTTTTCATGCCAAAGTTACACACAAAATCAAAGTTGCTGTAGGTGATGGTACATGTTTCTTCTAGTTAACTAGCAATCATATTAAAATCTATCATCCACATCATTAAAAAATTAAGATCCAGGAAATAAAAATTAAATTATTACCAAAAGAAAAAAATTAAACCAGTTATTTTATTTAATGTTTTAATTTTTATATTTACTGTACTATTCCTATTTGATAAAGAACTAATCTTATAATTTTGGTTATCAAATGTTGATATTGCCGATTTTATCTCTAGTACATAATATTTATAAGATTTTAATCAGATTTATTTTTGAGAAACTTCAGGATACTAATGACACAATTTCAATGTAGAAAATATAAACATACGAAATATAAAAAAAAAAAATATTGAATAAATAAATTCTAGAAAAGACTACTAAACAACTTGCAAATAATTCATAATGTTAACAAAAAATACTGTTTATCATTTATTTACTTGCTCACTCAAGGATCATCACTAAAGTTTTGGTAGATCACAATAGTGTTTCATAAGAAAAAAAATGTTAGCATTAAAGGGGTAAATTCTCTTGTTTTATATATATTATAATCCGTCATGAGCACTATTATTGAGTATTCATTTATTCTATAATATGTTCCATATTTTTGTATAAAATTAAATTTCAATTAACAATAAATTTCAGGTCTAAAGTATATATCGACCCAATTTATCGAGAGTATTGTGGACCTCCTGAAACTCAATTAGTGGCTAATTCATCTTCTAAAGATGAGGACGATGATGACTTTTTGGATACAACGATAGAACATCAATCTACACGTGATATTTTTTCATATGGTACTTCACCTGGTTTTCTTCATCATTAAGATATCATTCTGACAAGTACTTTGTCATATATGATTTTGACCAAATTAAGTATTTGTTGTTTTAATGTAAAAAGTAATTAAGGTCATCAGATCCCAAATATGAAAAAAGAACCATAATAAAAAAAAAATGTTGAACTGGCGTTATGACTGATTCTTATGCCAGAAGTAAAGTGTTATGTTTGTATTTATATGTAATGTATGTAAAAAGGCTGTGTTGTTATTTTAAATATATTTTGTTTTATTTATTTTTTGTAATAAAAGTCGCAACTTTTTTTTGTTATACTATCGTTATTATTAAATTCAAACATTAACATTACCTTTACAAATGGTTTTTCTTGTTATTTTTAATAAGAAAACAGTATTCTGTAGCTGAGAAATTAAATTTCTTCTACACCGATAATTTCTTGTATTTATTAAATCCCTTCATTTTCCTACCATATATATTATATCTTTCAACCTTGTCTCTTGTTTCGATTCTATAATCTACATTATGTAATATTTTTTAATTTAATTAAACTTATTTTTACATGAATATCTTTCAAGAAAAATATTGAGAGTACGATTCAAAATTTGGATTTAAAGTTTTGTTGCATATAAGTTCTTTTCTATTATATTATGCTTATAATGTACTTAAAATTAACATTATAATAATAACATGATGAACTTGAGCAAAACCATGTTCTCAATCTGGTTTCCGTTCCCATCATTCTACCCAATCTGCCTTGCTAAAGATTACCCAAGACCTACAATCCTCCATAGATATACAAAAAATTTCTATCCTATTTCTTTTCGACTTTTAAATTACCTTCGATTCTGTCAATGATAAGATCCTCTTTTCCAAACTCCAAAGCTTGCCCATATCAAATAGTGATCTAAAATAGTTCCATTCCTTATCCCACTGCTCACAGACAGTTTTCATTCTTAATAAAGGAGCTCCTCACTAGCTCCGACCCTTTTCTCTAGCTATATTAATGATCTTCCTGACTCCATTACCACTTATATGCCCATGATTTTCAAATTTACCAATCTTTCCACCCTTCTCAAATGCTTGAGGCAACTGAAAAGCTACAAGAAGATATTGACTGATCAACAGATGGGCAGAAATAAATGAGTTCAAGTTAAATGCACATAAAACTGAGGTTATTCTCATTGGTTCCCTTTCTTACTCTTCTCTACTTTACCTTAACAACCGCCCCATCCATTTTTTCCCAACTGTCATGAATGTAGGATTTATTTTTGATTAGAACCTTTCCTGGAATAACCATATTTTCCAGATAACCCAAAAATTCATAACTGTCCTTAAACAACTCCTAAGATTCCGTGATTGAATTCCTAAAAAAAACAGACAGCTCCTTGTAACCTTCCTCATTTTCCCCCACTTCGACTATGGTTACTTGGTGTATGGAGAGCTGTCTGAAAGATGAGTTGAAATTGAAGAGGTTTATGAACTGTTTTATAAGATTCATCTTTGGAATTTCCAAGCGTTCTCGTTTCCTGTTGGTATACCGAGATGAAGCGGCTCTATCCTACTTCCCAACAACAATTCCTTTTTGGTGTTTTCCTTTTCTAGGTCATATGAACCAAAAACCCTCCCTATATCACGGAACTACTCACTCCGCATTGCTCTATCCACTCTTAATACCAGATTTCAACCTATTGATTTATATATCCCTTCTCATAAAACTACATCCTTCAGCAAATCCTGCGTTATTCATGAAATCCTTCTTTCATTCATGAAATTCTGCAAATCCTTCTCGAAATCTTTACTTATCACCATACGGCAATCCTCATCCATATAAATTCCTTCACAGAACTCTTATTCCACCACCTGCTTCATGTACAAACTTCCGTAAGTATGTAATACTTATTGGATTCCGTAATTACAACTGCTCATGTAAACCATATAAAATATACTTGTGTTAATTTGTTTACTTTTGTTCAAGTATGATTGCAATAGCAATTGAAACAAACATTCAAATGACAAGAACCTCTTTGTATTTTGTCAAACCAGACTAATGAACCAATGTTTTGTACCATGTTATTATTCTTTGTGGACTTCAGTCCCAAAATAAAATTATTTTCATTTCATTTATAAGAAAGGTGTTACAAAGCCTTTGAACATGAGGATTGAAATAAAGATCTAACCCCGTGGAATGTACAGAAAGTATGTAATACTGAGTTGTATTATTATCGTAAACAACATAGTCAACCAGATATTTATTATAAGGATTTAAAAAATAAACCCTCTCATGACTGAAATTATCTGGATTATCCTCTTTAACCTGTTATCTCTGTAAGAAGAAAATATCTCCTTTTATAATATGTTATAAAATATTTTGTTGAATTAAATAAGTTAAAAATGATTTCCTTTTATTGGTTGAGGTGTGATGATATTACTTATAATTATGAAGAAAAAAATCCCCATTGTGAAACGACTTAAACAAAATTTTATTCGCCGGTTAACATTTTGAAATTTTTAAGAGATTTTGAGACAGGTAGTATTTGAGATATCCTTAAAAATATTTTACCTTAGTCCAGAAATATCAGCATTCATTGAATGATGGTTCTCTGAAAGAGTTGGAACTTATTGAATGACAGAGGGCACTTGCCGGTGCAATAGACTACGTGCTAAGTTAATTTTTTTTATTTTAATTCGATCACTAAAATGATTTGGTAAGATAGTGTGTCCTCAAATTCTGTGAAACCATAGTTTCAGGCTGTCATCTGAATAGTTAAGGTGTGCCTGTGTATCAGCTGTGCCCCTATGGGAAGTGACATCACCAAGTGGCCTATCATGTTTCAAACATGTTAAATAAAACAAAGATTAGGAGTCAGTATCCCAGTGCCGGGAGGGGGGGACGGGCTTTTAACTCTGGCATTAATCCCCCACCCACTCCTAAGAAATCTTTTTATAGCCAAAAAGGCGAAAAGTTCTGCCCCTAAAGAAAGGTTAATACCCCTTCTATTGTAAAGCTGATAATTTACAATAGTTAATTCTTCTTAGCTGTTAAAACTTCATCCATTTCTAAGATTCAATTAAATTATTGGTTATCAAGTAATAATAGTAGATAAAGGTTTTTTTTAGTTAAAATTGTTAACAACAAATACACATAAATTCCAAAACTAGCATTTTTAACCCCAGCTTATCAGAATTTCATTATAATTTAGAAAAGAATTAATAAAATATGGTTCTTTAGATTCAAGAACACAACATACTCAATTTTCCAATATCCACAAAGAATTGCTTAATTTTCAATATTAACAATAAAACTAACTTATAACAGAGGGGCTTTAAAATAAAAATAGTGCCATGTTTTACAAAGGCATTAAAACAATAATATATAAAATTAACTCTTAATTTCCTATTGTTTGATTACTGAATATATTGCTCTGTCTTAACAATTTATAAAAATAGGATCACAAAGACCTATCATGGTTTATACCAATTTCGATAATTCAGATTTCTAACTTTTTCAAGAATTTTTATGAAAATATCCAACTAGCAACATTTTTTACCCACGTAAAACGATAAATTAATGCAAAGAGGAAATCTCTCAACTTCACATATTATACCTAGTTATATAATTAATAAGTTGTAAATTTTATTTTATTAATCACTAAAATCCACATCAACACTAAACAATATTATAATTAAACAATAAAAGTATAGCTAACAATATTTAAGAATATCATCCCTTAAAAGTTACAAATTTTTTTGAGAAGAATTTAAACAATAAGATAGGAACAGAGTAAGTTAATAAATATTTTTCAATCATAATGTTGGATGAAATTAAAGTTATGGAGATGTTCTAATTTACCATTCTGAAACAATGTTTCTCCTCAAACGTAATGAAAACACACAAGACACATCAAACACATAGGGTAGATCACAATAAAAAATTTTCCTAAACATTATAATAAAGCATAGTTAATAATTCATGAAAATAGAAAGGCCTCAGTAGGCTAAGAAGTAATTCTGAAAAATTAACTGTGTATTTTCGCTTCTATCATACCAAATCTACAAAATATTTCCTAATGGTAAACATTGTGCTGGTATAATGATAGAAAATGTTAAATTTTTTAATAGCCTATAAATGCAAAGATTAATACAATTTAGATCATAAAGGTTAAATCAATACCAGTAAAACACAAATAAGGGTTATAGATAACAATTTTTATTAGGTATAACCATATAAAATTATATTCATAGATTTAACAAAACAAATATAAAAAATTTACAGACATTTTAAATACAACCATATAAACATGTAATTTAAAATCACAATGTCATTTAAAAAATATTTACATTGCAGCGATTAGTATTAAAATTTACCTCATTACGTATTTACAGTAACTAAACCACCACAAAGACGGCAAGAAGTCTCAGTTAAACTTAATTTCATTTTGCCAAGTTCATAACCACAATAAGAACACTTATAAAGATATTTCCAATTGAGTTCATAATGGTGTGTTGTTTTTACTTTAGGAACTTCTGGAAATTTTATCCATATTTTGTTAACCCACTTCTTGAATAATGGCCCATGGCCACCAGCCTGTTCATCGATCAACCAATTAGCAGCATGGCACAGCTCATGAAGTAATACATCTCTAACTTTAGAAGCATCATTTACAACAGTCTTGGAAAGTTTGATCATGGAATTCCGTATTTTGCCATTTTTAGTAATCTTAGAGGAAGATTTTGTGATTCCTGAAGTTGTGGTCAGATGGCCAGACCACTTGATTTCCAATGGTGGAAGTTTTCCATCAAATATTTCCTTATTGTATAATTTAAACAGCAGATCAACAAGTTCATTTTTGAATTTTGAAAAAGAATCTTTCCTGTATTTAATGGCTTCTGGATGACACATTTCATCGGGTACTTCTGGTGTCAAAGATAACAGAAATGATGTATGATTAGGGTTACTAGAATGAGTTGGTAAGGAAATCTTAGCAAGCCGTGCACTTCTCTTTTCTGAATTCTTTAAAAATGAAGAATCAAAGGATTTAGATGATGCAGGAATATTTTTTTTAAGGTATGATTCTAAATCAAACCAAGGAGCATTTCCATCATCATCTCCCTCTTCTTCACTAGTGGTAGTATGCACACTAAGAACCTCTGATGAATCTTTCGAAACACCTGGAATTTCTTCATCATCTGAAAAAGAGGAATCACTCCGAGTCCTATACATATATTTGTCATATTCATCATCGGATTTGGTCAAATCGATTGAGGGGTTTGCTTCATTGTCAGATCTTTCATTAACATCAATTATGTTGTCATTAGGTTTTTCTGACAAAAAAGAGTCATCAGAAGAAAAATTGAGTTTGTTTTTCTTAGACTTTCTTTTAATGTTCACAATAGAATCTGAGCTGTCATCATGTTTATTGAGAAGCTGATTTGAAGGATCAAGATCTTCATTAGTGTGAGATTCGTCAATGAATCCAGAGCATGATTTAAAACCATCTTTATCAGAAGTATTGATCTTCATATCAAAATGGTTCTCAGAAATATTCTTCTGAGATGTGTTACCGATAGATAGACCACTAAAATTTATATGGTTAACATCATCTTGTTCCTCGGGTGAGGAATGTCTTATAGAACTTGACTGGTAATGTGAAACAGAATCAGGACTTTCATTCAACTCAGCTGGTTGGTTACAAGAAAGACCCCTGCCCAGATGATATGTCTCATTAAGGGATGCATGATCTGATTGAACATCTTTACCGTCATCAACACATTTATCTTGATTTTCATGGGAACACACAGAGGTGCTACTTACACTGTATACTTCTGAATATATTTGATCAAGAAGACCTGTAGTTTTAGCAATTACTTTTTCATTGCAATTATCTGGTGAACTAATAGAATCATCTTTACTAATCATTAATGGCTTAGCATCATCATCAAGAGAATTATTTAATGGGTTCCGAAAATACAATCTCCTTCTGGGAGTACATAACTCGTTACTGTGGTGAGGGATATCTTCAGAATCATTGGCAGTATCTTTAGCCTCACTATCATCAGAAGAAATATTTAAACAATTTTTTTTCTTTTTCTTCTTGAACAGTCTTATTTTGTCAAAACTGTCATCACTATCTACAATTTTAGAAGGATTTTTATTGCAGATTTCATTAAAAGTTGAATCACTATCGTTGAGAGATGAAAAATTATCATCATCTGATTTGAAATTACGTGAACGTTTATTAAAAATTTTACCTCTCTTTGAAATATTTCTTTTAGAGTCATCATGAAAACTTCTTTCTAATGGTTTGCTTAGTTTATAATGCTGTTTGAAACTTTCAGATTTACCTGGGCTCTTCTGGCTATCATTACAAGTATTATGATCATTGACTACATCAGAGTGTTCACTGCAAGGTTTTTGCTTCTTCCTAGAATAGTCACTTACACTATTTTCAAATGAACCAAATAACGATGGGCAATAATGTCCTGTATTATTACTTTTTTGAATACTATCATTATTACATGAATTTGTAGTTCCTAAATCATTTAAGGCTTCACACTCTTTTCCATCAAATGTTTTATCACAAGTATTATCCTTGTCCTCTGATGATATGCAAACATTTACATCGATTAGTTTAGCATCATGTTTGTCTTTTGAAAGATTTGATTCAGGAAGAACAACCTCATGTCGATCATGCAAACCATTCTCATTAGGCTTAAGAGAACAGTTGAGTGACACACTATTTAGCCACTGTCGAATAGTACGTTTCTTCACAGAACTACAGACAGGAGTTTTGAACAACTGTTTAGAATTTTGATCATCTTCACTTTTTAGGCTGTCGTCTAAGATACTACTAGAATCTGAATGCTCACTCTCTGAAACAAATGAAATCACAGCAACATTCTCCTTGCTTAAGTGATGAACCCCAGGAGTCCTATGTACTTCAGGTGAACTAGATTGGTCGATTTGGAGCAAAATAGTAGAATTAATCTTACGGACTGGTGATATTGGTTGAAAAAACTTGGAAGAATCGGTAGTAGAATCGTTTCTATCACTACTTTTTTTGCTGTAATAATGAGAGCTGTCATGAGAAAAGCTCATAGCTCTCCGAGGTTTTCTTCTAGGTGTAGAACATGCATCATCAGATGTTTCACTAGATATCTCATTTGAAAACTTAGTACCACTGGTAAAGCTATTATGAATGTTACATTCGAGCTGAGGAGATTCCTGAAACAAATCTTCGGAACAATGGGATACATTAATGTTTGCAACATTATTTTCACAATGATCACTGATTTGAAATGAATTCATTGAGCGAACTGAGAACTTTACATTTAAGAGACAAATAACTCCTAAAAAATAACATTAACCAATAATAAACAAAATTCACGTCAAGCCGGGTTAGATTTGAATTATATAAACAAACTAACGGATCAGCGATGCTAGCGATCCTATCGGAAGAGATTCCTACTGATGCTTTTAAAAGTCCAGGTTATAAAAAACCAGATAGTGTGACAATTGTAAGAATATGTGATAAGTTACTCAAAAATGGCTAATACAGGAGTTTTGCCTTTTGTTCGTGGCGTAGATTTTAGTCGTAATGATTTTAGCGTTAGTATTAACTATAGAACTGTATTATTTCAGTTTTCGTTAATAATGTCAAACTGTGAGCAATTTAATTTTTATGATTTTTCATTTATAGGATGGGAAGTTTCCATCTTCTGTTAGGCTTATGACAGGTTTGCAATGGCTCAAGTTAGATAGATCAAATCTTTCTCAAGTTCCAGAAGAATTAGGGAACTTGATGAAATTGGTATGAATTTTTATTTATGATTTGACATAGTTTTGTTATTTTTTCATATTATAATTTAACTATGTATTTTTCTATGTAGGAAAGCCTGTCACTTGTCCGCAATGATCTTGAAAGATTGCATGGAGAATTAACAGAGTTACCTTGTTTACGGTCTTTAATTATTCGTCATAACAAAGTTAAAAGCTCTGGAATTCCAACTGACTTATTCCGTTCTGAAGAACTAACAACAATAGACTTAAGCCATAATGCTCTTAAGGAAGTTCCTGAGGGGCTTGAAAAATGTAAAACTGTTCTTGTTTTAAATCTTAGCCACAATAAGTAAGCTTATTTTAAATAGAAATTTACTTTTATTAAGTAATCTGTCATTACTTGATTTTTAATTTGTTTTTTTTTTAGTATAAATGCCATACCAAATACGTTATTTATGAATCTGACCGATTTACTTTTCTTGGATTTAAGTAATAATAATTTAGAAACATTACCACCTCAGATGAGAAGGTTAGGCAACCTTCAAACTTTAGTTCTGAATCACAATCCATTGGCCCATTTTCAGCTTCGGTAGGTAAAATATATAATTAATGGTATGTATAGCCATTGATAACTTTTATAATGCTTTTTTTTTTAATTTATATTTGTAGCCAGTTGCCATCATTGGTTGCATTAGAAACTTTGCATATGAGAGATACTCAACGAACACTCAGCAATCTTCCTAATAGTTTGGAAATGCTCACTAACCTCACAGATGTTGATTTGAGCTACAACAGCTTGCCCAAAGTACCAGAGTGCTTGTATACTTTAATTAACATCCGAAGATTAAATCTAAGCAATAACGAAATAACTGACCTCTCTCTTGCCTTAGGTATAAACTGTAATATTTTATTTATAAGTGTTATTTAGTTTGGTACTCCAAAATAGTTTTATAAATTTTGATATTTAACTATGACTTACTCTGGAGTGTCCCCACAAAAATATTTAGTTTTGCCTGCAGTTGTGGTTTAATTTACTGCCGATCTGATATTAATTGATTCTAATGTAAGTTCTCACCAACTTATGAAAGTTTTTCAATTTCTTCTTCCTCTGTATTCTTCCCTCATAACTTAGTCTAGAAATTTCCTATGGTAACTAGTTTTCCACTTCATGATGGATGTTAGGAGCCATTATTTTTTGTGTGAATATGACCATCAATGTACTAGATATACCCATCCTCTTAGACCATACGTTTCAGCTAGTGGCTGTCATGGTCTAGTCCAGTAGTCGGCAAACTTATTAGCCAAAGAGCCAAATATGAACATTACAATAATTTTTTAAAAAATTGGAAACCAAATCTGCTTCTTTAGTAAACTTTTATTACACTAAATAAGTAGTACACTATATATATGTATATATATATATATATATATATATATATATATATATATATATATATATATATATATATATATATATATATATATATATAAATAATTATTAATGTCAACAATGTGCTTGCATCCCCTTGGAAAGTTTGACTAAGCCAAGTTTTTATGTTGTTTTTAATTTTAGGCATGATTCCAAGTTCTCATCAATAAGACGACTTCTCAGTTTATTCTTGATAATGTTCATGCTTGAAAAAGATTGTTCACATATATATGTAGAACCGAAAAGGTAATCATGTTTTCCTTCTCCAGGTCATTCAAAGCAGACCGCTTGTGTTGTGAACTAAGATCACATTTTTTCTTCTCCAATATTTCCAATTCAACATAAAGACGTTCGAATTTAGAGCGCCTTATCTCCTCGTTTTTTAAATCCAGCAATTGTATTTCAAAGCTACCAACGTAATGCCATTGTGTTCTTAGTGTCCAATAAAAATAATCCTATGATCTTCAGACCTTGTGCATTTGGTATGGGAATTAAATACTATTCCTTTAGCCTTAAACATTTGTTCCCCTAAATTGTATCATAGTAGAACCTTTCTGGAATTTCTTATATAGGATTATATATATCCTATTTTAGGATTCAGGAAAAATTGAGAAACTTTGTGGTTCCCAGTATTCTGAAAAAAAGAAAGCTTTAGTTGATACAAATATTTCATCGTAAAAATACATCTTACTTTGTACATCTCATCTTGCTTGTCATGATGTTCAGCTGACAAATTAAGACATATTTAAGAATTTTCCATTTCATACACTTCAAAATTGGTTGATGGATAATTTCAAAATAATATTTCTTGAGTTGCTTGTTAAAAAAATTTTCCATGACATTGTTCATATTTTATTTTTTGGATAAAATTAAAAAATATGGTTAGCAGCAGTGGTAATGATTTCGGTAATACTGTGATATGAGGAAACAATTTTGAATACTTAGAGATATTTAAATATTCGTGTTCTAAAATAACTATGAAAAAATTAATTCAATATGATATAAATAAAAGGTGCAAAGCAGGATGAGATTGTAATTGCCAGGCGTGTTTAAGCATTACAATTTACAATTAAGCATAAACTTTAACATTCTCGAGTCTAGCAACACTGATTCCAGCCTCGGCAGGTTGAAATTTATTTTGTGGATGTTCTATGGAATGAATTTATTTATTTCACTACTGAAGTGTCATGTATAGAACAAGATATTTTTTTCATCGCTAGCCATGATCCATGAGACTTGTAAAGAAATATCAATACATTATAAGCCCACAGGACTTCGTGGAAGTCTCAATTTAGCCCATGGTCCTAAAAGTTTGGAGACAATGACAAGTTAGGGAGTAATAAAAATAAAAAATGCATCTTATTTCTGAGTTGTAAAGTTAGTAACTTGTGCCTTCTTTCTGTCTAGTTGGGATTTATGAAGCTGTTATCTTGCATACTGTTCTTTATGAGCTTAAAATATAATAAACATTGAAGAAAGGACAATAGTCTTCAAGAATAAAGCATTATATAAAATATTTGTTCTAAATTAGGATGAGTCTATTTGAAGAAAATCTAAGAGGCTATATGAAATTGAGGAGCATACACCCTACTAACGTCTAACTAATGCTAAGATTCTTATGATATCATTTTATTATCACTTTTCATATTTTCGGTGGCATACAACTTTTGTTCTTTTTATATTTCCAATGATACTAAATGATAATTTTATTTGGCAGAATTATAGGATTGTTAGGAAAAAAAACAAAAAAATTTACTATCTAAAATTTTAAATAAATATATGAATTTATATTTTATCGAGATGCGTATTAAATATAAAATTAAACATAATAATTTGAGATAAATAACTCCAATTCCTGCTTGTATTTTGTTGAGAAGTGTTTTAAGCCACCAGTTGCTAAATGTACTAAAGAGAGAATGCCACACCTTTTCTCTTCTATTCACAGTTAAACACTGAACGTCTCGAGAAAGGATTGCCCTGTATCCTTCTTTCCTATTATACAGTTTTAGTTGTAGAAAGAATAGTTTGATCACATCAAGTCTATTGAATTTTCGTTTTCCTAATAACAACAAAAATTTGTAATAGACGGAGGGTTAATATGACCCTGGTGGAGGGTTAATATAATTGAAGTGACATCTTAGCAATAGTTGAAATAAGATATAAAGTTTTTGGATTTGGTAATGTTTTGAATCCATAAACAGTTTATAAGTGATGAGTAGATTGGTAATCATCAAGCAGATAGATCGGAACATTAGTAGTAGAACTGCTTCAAAACAATTTTAAGGATTTCAGTTTTTACACATATAAAGGTTTTTAAAATTGATTGCTTGGTATGGAACCTTCAGATTTGTTAAGCCTTTCATGATTATTGGTTGATCAAGTGTTTTTATGATCTCTATTTTATGAGCTGATAATTTCCATGGTTTTCTAGAATGCTGATTGTAATATCGTGATAAATTCTTTTTGCTTCAAACTTATATCGGATATAGGCTTCAGCGTATCTCATAACTATTTTTATACTAAAACTATTTTGCCTCCTTCAAGTTACTTTTCAATATGATTTTTCTTTTTTAATTTAGACTTGATCCTGCTGTTCCTTTGCTGAAATGTGATAGAAACTTAATTGTTGTTATTTTTGTTTTGTGCTTTTTCTTATGACTTAAATTGGGAAAGTGCTACATAATGCTGAAATAGTTTCAAGATTATTTATTAATTAGTTATTTATATAATTTAAAACACATTTGTAAAAGGAAAAATAAAAATATATTACTAAATTGTCAAATAAATTTTCAGAAGTGTGGCAGAAACTGGAAACATTGAATTTATCAAGTAATAGACTTGCTGCACTGCCTGCTTCAATATGTAAACTATCTTCACTTAGAAGGTTGTATTTGAATGATAATCAATTAGATTTTGAAGGTATTCCTTCAGGAATCGGTAAACTATCCAACTTAGAAGTATTTTCTGCTGCTTCAAATCATTTAGAAATGATTCCTGAAGGTCTCTGCAGGTAATATTTTGAAACTTTCATTAATGAAATTCAAGATTTGTCTAATTGTTATTATGTGATGTTTTTAAATGATCTTATCTATTCTCCATTCTAATAATTTTACTTTTTTCTGGTTGTCAAAATCACTAATTTATTGATAATTTTGAACAAATTATTGTTATACTATCTTACACTTTGCTATAATGAAACAAATTAATATTATTACTTTACTATGATTGATTTATTGACATATTTTCATATCATGATTAGTTTGATAAATTATTTGTCTCAGCTGTTACTCACCTCATCCAAAGAAGGTCATTGTATTTTAAGGTGCACAAAACTAGGGAAGGGATAAAATAAAATTGTTGGTGGTTTGAATTTTTAAACTAACATTTTCATGTTATTATTTCCATTATTGGTACAAGTTTCTCCATCTGCCTTATTTTAATAAATGTTTCTGGTTTTGGTTTCCTACAGTAATTTGCTTCTTTTCTGATTTAGAAAACATTTTTATTCTATTAATTGTAGAGAGGTAGTATGTGATTATTTTTAATATTTTTGGGAGGGGAAAATCCTGCTGATTTAATTTTAGCTGAGAACATGTTTTTTTTAGAAAGCTTTAAGACATGTTAACTGGAAATACCTATTAGTAGAAAATGAAGATAAAAAAAAAAAAAAAAAAGCTTTCTTTTGATTAAGAAATAGAAGTCATTTCATCCCAATACAGTTTGGTTAACAGATTGATCTTGTATATTATTGGACATTAATTTAGTCATTACACTTTTTATAGTCTCCTGTTATTTTGGGGATTAATATTAATTTTTTAAAGAATAAAAGGAGGATATTTATTATTTTAATATTTGTAACTGTAAAATAATTTTAGACTGTGTTGGTCAGATTTATTGAGGCAGTATTTAAGAATTCTCGAGTCCCAAGCATCTACTATATACAGTTATTTATTTAGTTTGAGATTAAATGTTAACAATTAATCAAATTTGTGAAGAATCGTGTTAGTATGAATTTCTGTCAATAGATTCCCGTCATAACACTCATCGATTTGTTAATTTACCAGTTTTTAATATTAATCAGTTTTGGATTAAGATATCAAAAACTATGCAACATCCCTGCATCATATTTTTAAAATAGAAAATCCTATTTAACCAGGAATTTTTGGAATATTAAAATTTTACTTTTTTATTATTTTGCAGAATTCTACTGGTCTATTTACTAGCCATTTTTGAATATTTTAATTTTTGGTTTTCCAAAGCTGAATTCGAAATTTCATATACTACGCCACTGGATGGGAGTATATGTTAAAGATAAAAGATAAAATAATTATTTCTTTCTTTATTGAAGGAAGTTAATTGACTGTTCTACATATCATAGGTGATAAATAGTCAGGACGCAGTCCATTTTAAGATTTTTATTATTGTTACCGATGTTTCAACCCAAGCATGTGCGCGGGTCATCACCAAGGCATGTTGCCAGTACTGAAGGGTTTTATTTTTTTTATTTTTTTTTTTTATTTTTTTATTTTTTTTTTTAAAGAAAATGTTAATGTTTTGTTTTTTCACATTTCATTGGTAATTATTTATTTGCTGAAATTATATACATTAATAGATTATAAAAGACATTTGTGTGTGTGTTAGTTAATTTTTTTTAAAATAATTATAAAAGTTTTTAAATGTTTTTTAAATCTATAAATATATTTGTATTTTCAGTGATGCTGTTACTAAAATAAATAACTGACAATGAAGCATGATAAAATGAAAATGATTGAAGCAACAGACTTTTTTTTTTCTCCCCTTCCACACCTTTTAGGCTTTACGGGGTTTTCCCAGGCCAGGGTGTGAGGGCGTGATTAGTGCCAGAGTTAAAAGCACTCCCTCCTGCAATTATTTTATCTTCTATGACTTTGATTATCAGGACGTGTCGTGACAACTGAACGCCCCAAAGTAGACCGAGGTGACAGAACCCTCTGGTGAGGTCCCAACCTCAAATGATCCAATGAACAGAAAATGGCCCATTGGGTTTCTTTTACCCACAATCTATTTAAAGCTGAGGCTCTTAAGAACCTGTTATGAGTAGGTGTGGAGTCGTAAATCACAATCTAAGTAATGCAAAGTTAAAATCCTGGACATGTCATTACTCGACCATTCATGAAGATTTTTTATTACTAAAATAGGCTGTGGTAATATTATGTTCATTTTGAAACATTAAGATTTGATTAATATTAAAAATGAAATAAGAACCCCACTAATAATGGCAATCATTACTCAGTTTTTTATCATAAACATTTATATAAATAATTTTTTTAGGGTTGGATCTTTGAAAAAATTGATTCTCTCTAATAACCGATTAATAACACTACCAGATACTGTTCACCTACTAAGTGACCTCCAGGTTCTTGATGTCAAGGATAACCCGGAACTAGTGATGCCTCCTCGGCCATGTGAGGCCCAAAGAGGTTCAGGCTTAGAATACTATAACATAGATTTCTCTCTTCAGACACAGTTGAGGCTAGCTGGTGCTGCTCTTCCTCAACCTCACCCACAGCCAAGTATACATATGTTATACTTTTATTTTTATTATTATTTATTTATTTATTGTTTAAGTTATCTGTTTTCATTGATCAATAAATATTAGTGTTTTTTAAATGATATTCTCAAACGTTTAGTTTTAGTTCCATAATAAATGTTTAGATAAAGTTCCATAATATGTGAATTTTTGAACTAAGAAAATTATCTGCTACATGAATATTGTTAACATAAGTAGATCTTATTTTTGTATTAGAAATGCAAAAAGTAAACCACATCAGTGGTTAATTGAACATTATAATTGAAAACGATGTTATCAATTATCTTAAGTCAATTCGAGATATATAGACTTTGGGGATCTATGGTCTCTTCAATTAATTTCTTAGACTTCATTCGATCAAGTTACTAGTTAACAATTTGGTTACTGGTTGTATTTCTCTTGACCATCACATAATGTAGAAATTCAACATATGCTGTGATCTAGCTGGTGTGAGGCTAATACACTTACAAAAAAATAAAAAATCCAATTCAATTATTCTTTTCTTCTATATAAGTTAAATAATTACTAACAAGGGGATGTTACGGACGTGGGGTCACCGATTTCAATGAAACTTTTTTCAGTGATACTAGATTGAAAAATATCAGACCTATGACTGAGGGTTTTTGCCAATGCGTGCCTAGTAGCCAAGAAAAATTTTTTTTATAAAATTTTATTATTATTTTTTTGTTATTGTTTTCTGACTTTGCTCTGAGTGAATTTATAAGTTATTATATATCAATCGATTTGTTTTTTGGTTAAAATAAGAAAAACATATTGCTTATTGTATTAAACGAATTATCATATATAATAAAGTACTAAAACCATAGACGCTTCCTAGTAAAGTAAGCGAAGTAAATTTTTGTAATGAAAAAACTATTCAGATTTGTTTTTAGGATTCACTAAAAACTCTTAAATACGAGTTTGTTTTGAAATAAAAAAATATAAATTTTTGGACGTCATTTTATGGGAATTTTTTTCATGCCGTTTACTAAAATACGTATTCTCCTAAGTCGTTATTACAATGTTTGGAAAGCTAAATTATTTCTCTTCAATACTGTATCGATAACTTTAATATTTCATGCTAATCTAAGGAATAAATAAATAAAAACTCCCCATTCATTTTTATTTTTTATCTCCAAGCCTAATTTATTTGCAGGATTCTGGTTTATGCCATTTTGTGTATATTATAGGCCCCCGAATTCATGCTAATTTTTTAGTGGATAAGTGGAGCCTTGTTGAAGTTATCACAACTTTTGTAATTTTCGAAAAACAATTTAAGTAAGGCCTAGGCAGAAATTTTGAGCAAAAAATTTGTATTTTCTGATTAGTATGAAAATTCCTATTTGAAGGTTTTTCGAGGTGCGAAATACAAATATCAAGTTTGTTTCTCCTTAAAAAAATATTTGAACCTTCTTTACTCATATTCTCACTCCTACTATTTTTTTCAAAACCAGACGGGTATCAAATGTAATTTTATTGGTACAAATTCAAGTAATTTGTTGAGATTCAACCTGAAAATAAGAATAAAGCATTTATTGTACATATTATACCATGAAATATATTTTTGTGAGATAAAAAAATCTGATATTCATTTTGCACACACTTAAAAACCCTTAAATAAGCATTTTTGTTGCAATTGAAAAATTAAATTTTTCGCTCAATATTCTGCCCTTATAATATCGAAAAATAAAATTTTTGCTCAATATTGTGCGTTATATTAATATCTCTTGTAAGATCCTTATTAATATCTATTGTAAGATGTTTATAGCTTTATAGTAGATATTAGAAAAAGAAAATACATTTATTTTTCTAATGCAATAAAAATTTCCTTAATATTTAAATATATATTTAACAGTTTTAATATCTACTATAAATATTTATACATACATCTCACATGTGCTATTAATATAAGGCAGAACATTGAGCGAAATATTTACATTTTTCAATGGCATCAAAAATGATTATTTAAGGGTTTTTAGGGGTGTGAAAAATGAATATAATATTTAAAAAAAAAATATATATTTTAGAATAACAAAAAAGTACAAAATTAAAATATTAAATCTGGCCTAAATAAAAACAAGCAAAAATAAAAAATAAAAAGAAAGGGAAATAAGCAAAGAAAACATACTATATACAAAACAAAAAAAATTGTATACAAAACACTTAAAACTATGCCAAGACACTTAAAACTATGTACAGTAGTAAAACATAAATATACACTATTAGAAGAAAAAAAAAATTAAATTGTTCTTAAAAATAAACCCCTTGTTTTTGTAGAAAAAAAAGGAAGAAAGCCGAATCTGATAGTAAAAATTGTCTGAGTATTTAAATGGTGAGTTATATGTAAATACATCATTATGAATAATATGTTATTACGTCATAAAAGGTTAGCAGGTATCTGACTGTTTTTTTGGACAGGAATTGAAATAGGAGGGTTTTAAATGTAGATATGGAATCATGAAAAAAATTTACTTCGCCTACATTACTGGAAGTGTCTATGGTTTTCGTAATTTATTATATATGATAATTCGTTTAATACAATAAGCAATATGTTTTCCTTCTTTTTTTATCAAAAAACAAATCAATTGATATATAATAACTTATTAATTCATTCTGAGCAAATTCAGAAAACAATAACATAAAAATATAAGAAAATTTTATAAATTTTTTTTTTCTTGGCTACTAGGGCATTTTCTCAAGAACCCTCTTGCCCCATTTTCAACCCCCATTTTCATATTTTAATGTGATGAAAAATAAATTGTTCGTTCTAATGCATTTTGACTAATGGATAAATTTCAATTAGATGCAAGTAAGGATCCGATTGCTCGGAAACTTCGCCTCTTCAGAAGAAGTAAAAGAGATGCAGAAGAAGCTGATTCTGACCAAGCTAAGATTTTAAAGGTAACATTTTGTTAACATAATATGGACACTTCCACATATTTATTATAATTCTTATTTATTTATTGTCTTTCAGGGCATGAAAGATATTGCTAAAGAAAAAAACAAACAAAAGACTGAAGAAGAAGAAAGAGCTGAATCTTTGAAGTAAGAATTCATTTTTTCTTATTATTAATCCTAAACTGGCTATTATTAAGGTTTTTTTTTTGTTGGTTATTTAGTTGAATTCTTTTCAATTATAATGGAATAAATTATTATAACTTTCGAGGAAAGAGATGATCTGGGTGCTATCATAAAAAAAAACCTTAAAATAATGAAAAACTATTTCATTCTTATTTAAAAACTATTTTATTTTATTGTTATTAAAAAATTTAACTTTTTTCTTACGACTTCCACCCTGTGCCATCTCTTTCCTCAATATTATACTACAGACAACCATTGACTATTCCTTGATTTGAGTATGAATTGTAACTATTCCTAATGCCTGTCAACTGATTTTATTTTTATTTTCAAGTATAATAAATATTAAATTATTCGTCGATGAGCTCTATTTAGATATACAGATGGACATTTTTTATAATTATTTATTTTTATCGTAATGGGCTAATGAATTAAATAAAAAAGAAAAAAAATATGATGTTTCTGTAATGACGTTATGTCGTCAATTGCCATAAAGTAAAAGTTATTATGAATAGCGGTGGTAGTCCTTAAATGATTTTTAGAAATATTCTAGTTCCGACTCTTACTGATTAAGTCATGTTAATATGAATATTTTTTTAAATTCAATAATACAATAATATAATTTTTTTTTATTGTTTTATCAGGCCAAAAAGATGGGATGAAAGTCTTGAAAAGCCTCCTTTAGATTATTCTGAATTGTTTGATGAGGATGCAGGTAAGTTAGATTGATCTGATATTTTTTTCTTATACTTGTTTTATTTTTCTTCCTTATTTAGCAATTCAATCTAACATGATTCATTCTCCTATGTTTATCTGTATAATTTTTGTATTCACAACAAAAATTATTTTGCCTGTAACACTTTCACTGTGAATCTCAAACTATGTACATATTTTGTATATGTATGTATTGTACCTTGTACCTAAAAAAAATTACGACTACCTCTGATCGCACTTTTGTCAGACATAGTGAGTATGTAGATAATAGTATTAATTAATATATTTTGTGGTGTGACTTACTTCAAAATACATGAATGAGCATTGCATCAGCTAAATTATACTTGCACCATTAATTATAATAAAAAATAAAAAAAACTGAAAATTTTGTAACTTATTTATTTATATGGTGTTTCTTAAAATTCCATTATTATACTTGAATTCCATTATTTGATAAGTTTGTCATGACACCCCAATAAACCATTTAGTAATAAATGTTCTAATTTGTGATCTCGACTTAATATATTTTCAGATTTCATTGTTTTGTATTTATAAAACATCTGAATTAATTTATGATTCTAAATATTTTGTTTCAGGACAAATGCAAGGTTTGACCATTTGGGAAATTGAAAACTTTCTTCCCAATATGGTTGAAGAAGCTGTACATGGGAGATTTTTTCAAGCAGATTGCTATATTGTTCTGAAAACATCTTTGGATGATGCTGGCAACCTTACTTGGAATATATTCTTCTGGATTGGTGAAAAAGCATCTGTAAGACATTTTTGTTATATCTATATTCTACGACGTAATGTTTTCTTTTAGTATATTTTTGTAATTAATTATTCTTTTTTTCTCCTTTTCTTTAAAAATAGTTTTTGCTTTCAAATAAATATTGGCTGATAACTTAATTATTGGAATTAACTAATTATCATCTTGAAAAAAATATTTATTCAGTTTTACTAATTGATTTATTTATTTAATTTCATTTATTATTTATTCAATGGATGTGGATATGTGTATTTATTTTTAAGTCATTGATTTTATAGAGTCCCAGGTGCCAGTGGAAAGGTATTTTTTTTATTTTATTTTTTTGGTCCTCCCCTTCCTCGCCTTTAAGGCTATACAGAGTTTTCCCGGGCTGGTGTGGGGGGGAGGGAGGAGGATCTAAAAGACTCCCCCGGCACCGGGACGCGAACTCGTGACTATTTTAAATCCATTGTCTCATATATCAGGTTGCCGAGCAACGGCGGTGCTGTGCACTCACGTTAGCCCGTTCGCAAATGAAACAGAGAGCCCGAAACACCAGCACATGTGCTTGAAAATTGACCCAACTCCTTCCTTATAACACGCCGCCACCACAGAGTGAAACATGAACTGATAAGGCTCCTTAAAGAGAGAGATTTAAACCTGTTACATTTACACCTGTTTTGAGGAATTATATTGCATAGATACTGATGGATCCACCCGATATGCCGGCATCATAGCATTCCTAAGACGGAAAAGTCGGCGATGATTTTGGATCCTACCGTAAGATATGAGACCAATGACTTCGATCAGGCAGACTAAGTGGAAAGGAAAAATATGTGAAATGCATTCCTTTCCATAATGAAAAGTTCTGTGAGTGTTTCGGGCCGGGAGAGTTCCTCATGAGAGGCCTTTGGTTTGGAGCTCGCTGAATGATACCAAACTCAACAAGGAGCTTCATGGAGGGTCTTTGTGCCGACATAAAGGACATGGCAAAGTTGGCAGTGAATATAATCCTCGACTCTGAGAATCACGACCGTGTGCATGGGAGCAGATAGGGAAAGAGTTTGCTCATGAGAGGGAGGCATGCAGGTTTTACAATATTTTAATATTATTTATTGAACACGTCCTCTGGATTTTATGTATTTTTATGAATTAGCTTAGGAAGAGAGAGGAGGAATAAGAGAAATATATAAGGGGAGAGAAGGGAAAGAAAGGGAAGTAAATTGTTGATGAATGAATAAAAGAAATTGGCAAAAAAGAAGAAAAAAATATAAAAATAATACATATATATATAAAAAATTACACACACACATATTTTTATATTGTATACTATGCTCATATAAATTGTTAATACTGTATATTTATATATTAGTTTTAAAAAGTTTTGTCCATAATGATTTTTAAGTATGGTGTGTTTGTAGCAACCCAAAATAATTGGACAGCACTCTTTTATGAAAATAAAGTGATTCACTCTATGTATAATTGTATATAATAATATGATTATACTTTTTAACAGATGCATGGATTTGTTTTCAAAGAATTAATAAAAAAAAAGTTAGTAGAAAAGAAGGAACTAAAATTTCAACAAAAAAGATAAAACAAAAAATTCTTATACTTTTAGAAATTGAAATATATGCCTTAAAAAAATATGAATTAGATAATATAAATTTGTTATTATTCATAAATATTAAATTAAGTAATGGGGGTGTGATCGGGAGCCCCTCCCCAATAAAAATTTTGATGGGGCAAGAATATTGTTCCTCCTCCTTCTCCTAATAATGTTAAGTAAAAAAAAAATTAATTGATAACAAATAACATTAATAAATAAAATATGTAAACTAAAATCGATTAAGAAAATTCAACTAGCTAGCCAAGCTAAGGCCATCCTATAAGTAGGTATGTAACTATTTTATCATGACCTAAATATTCCTGTTATTTAAATTTTCATTTATATCCAGAGATAGTTATATAGAAACATTTCCTAGGCTTTTATGACTCAATTCGTCTCTCATGTGTACACCTCCATTTCCAAGTTATTTTTCAAAAATATTTTTCAGTTTTTTAACATTGTTCATTTTTAGCTGAAAAAGTTATAGAAATTTACCTCTTTCATGAAGGCTGGCACCCTTCCTTCCATGTTTAATGTATTCAAATAGTAATAAATCCAATTATTTTGTTCAGATATTTTCAAATATATCCATATGCACATAAAAAAATTACAAATACAACTTCCATCTTATGTATAAATTTATTTTTAAATATTCAATATTTATTTGCTTGTTTCACAATAATTATGTTGAGTTTTAACACATAATAAGGAACTACTTATTTTTTTTTTTGTTCACCTCCCTCTCCTCCCCCAATCGAAATAAAAAGTCTGCTCCTATAGGATGAAACAGAATAGAAAACAATTATTGACAGTAATTACTAGACAGAATACTTAAATTATTAAAATATGGATAATTAAAAAAATATTGCAATAATTTTATCATAGGAATAATTTTTTCTTTAAAAAAGTTCAAAATAAATTATGGACAATTAAATAATTATGTTTAACTATTAATATAAATTATTTAAATTGTTAATATTAATAATTTATTATAATTCATAGGAAAATATGTAAATTATCTATAATTTATTAAAAAGTTTTTTATATATATATATAGTTCTAGAAATTAAATTACCAAAAAGTTTATTTCTTGTTTTAAAACCTGTATTACATTAGCTCATCATAATATCTTTTATTATTTTACAGTTGGACAAAAGAGCATGTGCTGCCATTCACGCTGTCAACTTACGTAACTATTTGGGAGCTGAATGTAGAACTGCAAGAGAAGAGCAGGGTGATGAAAGTGATGAGTTTTTAAGTCTTTTTCCTGGTGGGATTACGTATATTGAAGGAGGCAGAACTCCATCTGGTTTCTATACTGTTGAGGATATGGTTAGTTTTTTATCATATTGTTTTTATTTTATCGTGAACATATCGTTAATATTATTGTCATCTTATTAGGAAGAAAATATTGGATTTGTTAATAATAATCACAAGGCTTAGTGAACCTGAAGGGTCGACACTGATACCACCAATCACTGTCTACATTCTTCCATCAACCGGGTGCCATCCAAGCCCAGCCCCGTCATATTAGCCTTAATGCAATCCTATCATCTTCGCTTTCTCCAACCCCTCGGAAGTTTTTCAGTTGGCACATCACATATTAAATTATTAGCAACTCTTTCTTTATTAATGGCTCTATTAGGTTTGGATAATTTTTTTTTCTCTTTCAAAAAACATAACTTGCGTTCTCAAAGGACCTCTGGTATCAAAGGTGACCTTTTTATTTTCTTATTTACATACTTCATCAGTTTAAAAATAATTTGTTATATCACAAAATATATTGTATTTCATGAAATCTGCGGTTAAATTACTATTAGTTGATAAGTAACATGATAGTATAGCCCAAACTTAGTGAAAATGGAAGTCAAATTAATAATTATAATTATTATTACTTTAATAAATTGAAAAAAAAAGTAGTAGTGAAACTCAAAATAAATAATAACCTATCAGATATTGAATCTGCCAGTTATTAATTCTAAATTAAAAATGATATGTTCTCCTTGTTGGATTTGATTGAAGCAATGAATTACTACTACTGTTGACACTGCTGCATTTTTACTGCTACTGTTGTTACTCTCATGTTGAAATTGTAAATGAAATTTAAAATTTAGTATTCAAAGAGGAAAAATCAAACATCCGTTATCTATCTACTGTGTTAATAAACTGTTTTATGTTATTTACAGACATATATAACTCGATTGTACCGAGTTCATGGAGCTGGCTCTGGAATTCATTTGGAGCCAGTGACTATTTCACATGAAAGTCTTGATCCTCGATATGTTTTTATCCTTGATGCTGGGCTTAAAATATTTATGTGGTATGGAAAGAAGTCTAAAAATACTTACAGATCCAAAGCAAGGTCAGTTTTGAGATTTATTTATTCAGTTAATATTTGATGTTATTGTTCTTTGTTGACACTTTCTTTATAGTATCATGAATATCTTATCTCTTAATAGTTCGAACCCATGTAGATTTTGGTAATTATTTTTAAAAAATAATGATTTTGCTATAATATAGATTAATTTCTGTTTTATTTTAGACTGCTATGTGAAAAAATCAACAAAAATGAAAGGAAGAATAAAGCTGAAATATTGACGGAGATGTTCAAAGAGGAAAGCCCAGAATTTTGGAAATCCCTTGGTGAAGAGAGTGCCGAACCGCCTGATGATCCTATAATTGTGAGTATATAAAATTTAGGATGCTAAATTAAAATTTGTTGTCTTATCGACTGATTTTGATTTTGCAGGAGCATGTAAGCGATGAGTTTAAACCAGTTGACCCTAGGCTTTACCAGGTAAAGCTTGGTATGGGGTATTTGGAACTGCCTCAGGTGGAGCTTCCCAACAATAAACTAGACCACAATCTTCTTAACAGCAAAAACGTTTACATCCTCGACTGTTATCTTGATGTCTTTGTGTGGTGAGTAATTTTCATTATTATGTATTTAATAATGAAGAGAAGGATAGTTGGGGTGATCAGTCAAAATAAAAATGACAAAAATAAATAATAATAAATATATAATATAATATAAATAAATAATATTATTATTTATTTTTGTCATTTTTATTTTGACTGATCACCCCAACTATCCTTCTCTTCATTATTCACTAAAGTCATGCAGGAGTCGACAATTATGTATTTAATAAGTTTGAATGGATTTCTTAATAATTAAAAATGGATAGTATTCTTTTTTATAACTTATTTCTTTCAAAAATAGAGTTAAGTGCTTTTTTGGACTATTAATGGACACAGAATATTGCAAAGCAGTACAAGAAAATGTCTACCTTGTGTTGAGATATAGCAGTTACAAAATGATCTTAAAAATCAGCTATTTTGTTTTGTGAGCTGTCCAAAGAGACATGTTCAGGTTATATGAGAATTTTCATATTCATTTTAAAATGAAATTTAATTTTTTTTTTTTTTTTGACTAAATGAAATTATGATGTTCAAAAGGATGTTATCACTTGTTTTAAGTATAATAATTAGTTCTCAAGTATTCTTCAATATTTAGTATTTAATTTATATTGATGATTGTATGACATGTTACATATGTATATATATTGTGGATTTATTTCTGGATTATTTTTCTTTTTTTTTTTCATTGCTGAAAGTTAAGGTTAAATAAGTCAACTTATATACAAGTCTACATAGTTGATTTATAATAGCTATCAAGCTTGTCGAACATTTTATAGAATAAGTTTAGATCATCTCTCTAGTATGAATAAAAATAAGAGATATAATCTTTTTTAAGGGACTAATGATAAGTGTAAGGAAACTTGAGTAGAAATTTAAATCTTGTCAAATAATTTTTTCAAACAAGCGTTTCTTTGTGTACTATATCTTATATATTTCAGTTGAATTTCTAAGATATCTAATATATTCCAGTTGAAATAGAGCTCGAATCTCATGTTATCATTATTTGAAGCCCCAAATATTATGTTAAATTAATAAACATAAGTTGATATAGCGGAAGACTGATATCTTATTATTTTTTTTATAGTATAAAATAATATTATTATATATTTTTATTTGTGATAATTAATAGCAACTTTATACCAGAGTATTTTATTGATACAGGTATGTAACATATAATCTTATAGCTCATTCCTAATTTTTATATAATTTTTCTAGGTTTGGAAAAAAATCGACAAGACTGGTTCGAGCTGCAGCGGTGAAATTGGCTCAGGAGTTGTTTACAATGGTTGAAAGAGGTGCAGAGGCAATGGTTACAAGAGTACAAGAAGGAACTGAATTGCAGCTTTTCAAAGCCAAGTTCGCTGGGTGGGATGATGTAATCCCAGTGGATTTCACACGTACAGCTGAATCTGTTTCCAGAACAGGAGCCGATCTTGCAAAGTGGGCAAAACAACAAGAAACAAAGGTTTGTTATGATATTTACTTTGTTAATTGTTGAGGAAATTATTATGATTGTTTCAAATTTTTAGTATAAAATTTTCAGCAGATCTTTTTGTGGCCATTGGTCTGTATGTCTGTGCTACAACTGTCTCACGAACAGTTGACCAATTTTGTTGCTATTTTTTTATTGAAGGATAAATACCACCTATGTCTCTGTTGCAATATGGCCACTATACACATTATATTTGAAAAGCCCATTTTTCTTTTTCACTTTATATTTTGTATACACACCCCAAGAAAAAGTAAAAATAAAATTAAGAAAAATATTTTTATTTGCTGATAAGTCAATCAGTATTTATTGCAAAAAAATAATTGAAATCGGTGCAGTGCTATAACCATGTTAATTTCTTCAAATAACTTGAAAACTATGCATCTACTGGTTGGACCAATATTAGCAAAAATGCAACCTGAAGCAATAAAGCAAGTTGTGTGAATGGGCAGACCAGACATTGACTTTTGTTTTACAAATTTCACTTTATCAATGACCTCAGATATTTCTTATTATTATTGCTTCTTTAGGCTGATTTGGCTGCTCTTTTCACCCCGAGACAACCTGCAATGTCAGCATCTGAAGCACAACAGTTGATGGATGAATGGAATGATGATCTGGAGACCATGGAGGCTTTTGTTCTGGAAGGAAAGAAGTTTGTTCGACTTCCAGAAGAAGAAATTGGTAACTATTACATGAATACATAGCTGGAAAACTCATTTTTTGTAATGCATCTTCTTCAACTACTTGTTATTTTCTTTGAGCAATCATTTTAATTTACTTTATTTGTTAAACTATGTTCTTTAGAAATTATTATAAGTCATAGAGCAACCAGAACTTCCATGATATTCCTTTATTTTAATTTTTCGCATAATTTATTAGTAAGGACAGCACGGTTGTTAGTATTTCAATGTTTTAAAACAAGTGAAATAATGACTAATTCTCTCATACAAATCAATCGTCGTCCATTTTAAATCATTACCTATCTTTCTGACTAAGCATTTGTTCATGAAATTTGAACTGAGTGCTCAAGAAAAAAAAATCTTATGATTCACTCAGGAAAATCACACTTCTTGAAATCCAAAAGCTTGTTCATTGTCAAATCAAAATAACCAAGTCATTGTTTAATAAATTAATCCATTCTTCTTTAGTGATGTGCCAAATGTATTATTTTTGTTCAAACTTGTATTCACAGATCATAAGAAGGAAACAAATATTTGGCATTTTAATTTTAGTTTATGTTATAGAGACTAGGACTACTGAATCAATTATCAGCTGATGTGTTTCTTTTCAACGTTAATTTCAATTTTGTAAAACTATTTAATAATTTTTATTCATTTACCTGAGCTGACCACATTTCTGACATTGAATTACATGACTCCTTTAAATTAATGTTTCTATATCTGATTTATCTCTTATTTTTGAAAGCATGATTTCTTCTTATTTAAATTTTTTTAGGTCATTTTTATTCTGGAGATTGTTACGTTCTTCTATGCAGATATTGGGTGGCTAACGATGAAGCAGAAGAGCATGAAGAAGTTGGAGACCAACCAGAAGATGACTGCCAGTATGTTGTTTATTTCTGGCAAGGAAGAGATGCTGGTAACATGGGATGGCTTACGTTTACTTTTAGGTTAGTCCAATAATTTGTATTCTTATTTTTCTATCTATTATTATAAACGAGATAATTTCATTTACAAAAAATAAAAAAATTACATTAATCTGGGATATGATTTTCGTTACATGTGACACGGGAGATTATTTAGTATTATATATAAAGACAAAGTGACATATAGTTATTTTAGTTTATTGAATAATTTTAAAATGTTTCAAGTTTTTCTTTGTAAAATATGTTGACATACTAAATGTATTCATCTGTAAACATACGTATTTAAAAAGAACTGTTAGATTCAATTATTTGTATTTTCAAACTCTTATTTGACTTATATCTATTTTTAATGAAAACACCTGTAGCTGACCAGCATTATTTAACTATTACTTCTTTTATTATTTTTACTTTTCCTTATGTATGTATGTAATATATATTAAGGGTAAGTATTGTGATCGTGAAAATTTTTGAATCTGAGTTTTCAACCGATATACACGTTTTAAGGTCCCCTGAGTCCAAATAACCAAGTCCCGTAAAATGGCCTGTGTGTGTTAACAGTCTAGCTCAAAAACGAAAAGTCGTACGGAAGTAAAATTACATATTTAAGGCTTTTATGTGCTAGGGATGTTAGAGCAATTTTTTCATCAAAATTGGCTAACTGGAAGTGGCACTTTATATAATGAACTAAACACATTTTTACGATTATCTCGAAAACCGCTCTAACGATTTTGATTAAATTCATCATATCAGTGAAAATTAACCAGTTTTAAATAAAATATCTGGCGTAGGGAGGTGGCGGTCCCATCGCCCGGTCATTGTACCGCAACCAGCCACTGGCCCTCCAGGTTGGGGGAACACTTACACGAACACTCACACACCAAGTACACTTTATACAGCACACTACAACACCTAAACACTACAGACAAAGGTCACCTACAGTACACACCCTAGGGTCACCTTCCCTAGGTAGCCGCCCCGGATGGGGGAGCTAGTCAGGATGCTCGGAGGAGGCAGCCCCTCTACCTGACTCGGGGGCAGTGGGCTGATAACCCACCCCCCCTAAAGTACCTTATTACGAAGCCTCAAAGAGAAGAAGCCGGACTGAATTACGGTAACAGACCCAGGAAACGCCTAAATGACCTAAGAATTGGATTTTGGAACATTTTATCATTACATAGACTAGGAGCACTTCGTGCGCTCCTTGCAGAAGTGGACACATACAGAATCGACATAGCAGCTATCCAAGAGGTCCGATGGATAGGACAGGGAATTATGGAGAAGAAGTACCATACTCTCTACTATAGCTGCCATGAAAAGCATCACATCTTCGGTACCGGATTTGTTGTGAGAGGCAGAGCTCGACAGTTAGTGATGCGATTTACTCCCATTAACCAAAGGTTATGCTACATTCGGCTTAGAGGAAAATTTTTTAATTTCTCTCTAATCAACTGCCATGCCCCAACAGAGGTGTCACCTGAGGAGGATAAGGAAGCATTTTATGAAGAACTTGGACGCGTGACAGAAAGCTGCCCCAAAAATGATGTTATAATCATTCTTGGTGACTTTAACGCACAAGTTGGTAAGGAGGTGGCACTCATGCCGACCATAGGAACCCACAGCTTGCATGAGACCAGTAATGATAATGGGCTACGGATGGTGAACTTTGCTACATTGCACGGACTGGTTGTTGGAACAACTCTTTTTCCTCGAAAGAATATCCACAAAGCAACATGGATCTCTCCAAATGGGCAAACAGCATCACAGATAGACCATGTACTCATTAGTGCCCGTCACAAGTCCAACATGATAAATGCAAGATCTTATAGAGGTGCAAATATGGACACGGAACACTATTTGAGCATTGCCGAGGTCAGATCACGAATTTCGCTGATTAAAAACCACTACCAACGACCAAAGAAGAAGATTGATGTGGTTAAACTTAAGGACTCAGACCACCAATATTCGTATCAACAAGCTGTGGAGACGAAACTTATTGAAGAAGTAATTAATGACAGCTCTATGGTCGATGAACAGTGGAAGAGATGCAGCAACGCAATGAAACAGGCAGCAGAAGAAGCTCTTGGCTACGAGACTAAATCTAGAAGGCCCCCATGGTTTGATGCTGAGTGCCTTCAAGCAGTAAAAATGAAAAATGAAGCCTACAGAAAGAAGGTTCAGCGTCCCACAAGGCTCTCCCAAGAAACATATAGAAGAAAAAGACGCGAAGAGAAGAGATTATTCCGCGGAAAGAGAAGAGCTTGGGAAAATAAGAACATGGAGGACACAGAGGCATTGCGCGGCCAAAATGAAAGTCGCCTGTTCTTTCAGAGAATAAACGAGGGTAGGGCAGCTTTTAGGCCCAGAGTGACGGCATGCAAAGACACAAATGGAACTCTTTTAAGCCACAAAGATGACGTACTAAGGAGATGGGTACAACATTTCAAAGGCGCATTAAACAGAGGAACGGTGCCTGGAGAAGTAGGTGTAATGAAGGAAGACTCCCTGAATTCTATTGAACCCCCGGATGAGGAGGAAATGGAAAACGCCCTGAGGAAATTGAAAAATGGAAAGGCGCCAGGCCCGGACGGAATCCAGTCAGAGCTGTTGAAATGTGGAGGTGAAGAACTCAAGAAAGCTCTGCATGATTTAATGCTGACCATCTGGGAGAAGGAAGCTATGCCTACGGAATGGGCAACAGCCATTATCTGCCCAATACATAAGAAAGGAGATCAAACAGAATGCGCTAACTATCGAGGAATCTCACTCCTTTCGTGTGCCTATAAGCTGCTCTCTAACATTCTTTTTGAGAGGATCCTCCCGTATTCTGAAAAGGAACTGGGGAAATATCAGGCTGGATTTCGAAGAGGACGCTCAACGACTGATCAACTGTTCTCTCTGAGGATGATCCTAGAAAAGACTATGGAGCGTAAGGTAGTCACCCACCATTTATTCCTGGACTTTAAAGCAGCATACGACAGCGTTGATAGAACGCAACTATACTGTGCCTTGGAGGAGCTAAGCATCCCTCAGAAGCTCGTACGCCTAATCAAGATGACCATGGACAGCTCGAGATGCAGAATACCCGTCGGTTCTGACGACTCCGAAGAGTTTAAAGTGAGCAGTGGGGTTAGTCAAGGGGATGCCCTCGCCTGTCTATTGTTCAACTTGGCAGAGGAGAAAGCTGTAAGAGACTCCGGTATTCAGATCAAAGATATAATCTTCAATCGCCTGACACAGCTTCTTGGTTTTGCTGATGATATTGACATAATAGGTAGGTCTGAACGGGCTCTCAGAGAAGCGTTTATAAGCCTTGAAGCAGCTGCAAGACCACTTGGACTAGAAGTCAACGAGAGGAAAACTAAGTATATGAGAGTTGGCGGTGAGGTGGATCTGAACTCTCCATTTGAGGTAGGTTCTTTTAAGTTTGAGAGAGTGAAAAGTTTTATATACCTTGGGTCTGAAATTAATAGCAAGAATGACATGGCTCAAGAAATACAAAGAAGGATCACGGCTGCCAATAGATGTGTCTTTGGACTTGGCCGACACTTAAGAAGTAGGTACCTCTCAAAGAAGACCAAGCTAATCATATACAAGACCCTTGTTCGGCCTGTTTTGACATATGGCTCAGAGGCTTGGACGATGACTAAAAAGGATGAGATGAAGCTGAGTGTCTTTGAGCGAGGAGTCCTCAGAAGGATTTATGGTCCAGTAAAGGAGGGTGATGTCTGGAGGAAAAGAAAAAATAGGGAGCTCAGTTCTCTCTATGCAGACATCGACGTAGTCACGTATATTAAACTGGCCAGACTAAGGTGGGCAGGGCATGTGGCCAGAATGAGCACCCTTGAAATACCAAAAAAAATAATGATGGAGGAGCTGCACCTCGTAAGACGGGTAGGAAGGCCGAGGACGAGATGGTTGGACAACGTGGCCTATGATGCGAGAACCCTGCTTGGTGTGCGGAACTGGAGAGCTGCAGCAGAAGACAGAGCCAACTGGCGGAGGCTCTTGGAGGAGGCCCAGTCTCGGTAACGGGATGTTGTGCCATACATGAATGAATGAATGAAATAAAATATGGTTATTATTCTGATTGATGTTCTCTAACAGGGCTAAATGGCTAATTTTCAATATTAGCTTCCTCTAAAGTACCTTTAATTTTTTTTAGTTGAAACAATTGACCATTTCACATTAATTTATAATATGAAAAATGGTTAAATTAAGAAATCCTTATGGAGAATAATTGTAATTGAGAAACCAAGAAAGACAAGCGTACCCAAGCTCGCATGAAAGATTAGAACACGCTTTCTATATGTATCATGATATTAATATAGTACGGACTCCGACAATATTATATAAATATACATATGTGGCTTTCATAAATGCTATTGTTGATATTATTTAATATTTAATTGTATAAATTACAGCGATATAAATATTAAAATTTGTATATATGAGGGTACTTATACAAATAAAAATACCCACAATGAAATATAAATAAATATAGAGTCTATAATTTTTACTTTAGCTTCACTTTGTCTGAAAATACTTATTTCTGCTAAGAGGGTAGTAAGTGAAAGTTGTGTGATGCGTGAACCGCGCCAGATTTTTTATTTTCAAAGCAATGATTGTATTTTTTAAAAATTCATTAGTGTTTTTTATTTAGCTTACAGAAGAAGTTCAAAAACCTGTTTGGAGATAAACTGGAGGTTGTAAGAACTCACCAACAACAAGAAAATATCAAATTTTTAGCACATTTTAAAAGAAAATTTGTCATACACTGTGGCAAGAGGCATGCTATTAAGGAGCCAAATCAACCACCACCTGTAGAATTCTATCATTTAAGAGCTAATGGCGGAGCTTTGTGCACTAGGCTTGTACAAATCCGTCCAGATGCTACTGCTTTGAACTCAGCCTTCTGGTAAGTTGTAAAATATAGTTGTCAAGCCTCATTTATTGTTTCTTATTTATTCTCTGATTTATTGTTCTTCTTTTATTGTTTCTTATTTATTCTCTGATGGCCGTTGGAGGATCAAGGCAACTTCTTTGATATTAGATACATAATATATTGTGCAGTTGTTGTCATACACTAACAATATTTTGTTTTTTTAATGAGTAATATTAGTATTCAGTGGTTGTTTCTGTGTTAAAATGTTTTTATTTAACTGCTTAAAGAACAATATGGTAAATGTTAGCCATGAAATTGCTAGATCTATAATACTAATTATTTCCTAAGAGTTCAGTAAAGCTAGGACACTCTTTTAAGTATGTAAAGACTTTCTCTACAACCAACAGTTAGGCTAGAGCTTGTTGTAAAAGAGAACGAATTTCCACAATAGGAATAAGCATGGTTGATGGCTCTTTATGTCCAATTCATGTGAAAACTACCAATGTTACACTTCTGTTGACCATACTTGCTATTAAACATCATAAAAAATATGAAAAGTACATTCTTGTTTGGTGTATTAGAACAAGCATCACTGTTATTGGAAAATTAATACGATAGAGATCCAGAAAATTTATCATTTTTACCTCTCTTTTTGGTATGAAAAACTCTGTAAAGCCCTTGTAAATCTATAGTTTTTATGGATGTCAACTGCCAAGACTGATTATTTGGTGAATTTCATAAAAAAAAAAAAATAAAAAAAAAAATAAAAAAATTAAACTGTTTTATCCTGAAGATGGGTAGTAAAGAAAATTGACTAAAATAATGTAAGCCAATTTCTAAAAACAAATAAGAAAAACAGAAAAAAAAATTCTTGATTAAATACGCAAGATAGAATAAAAAAAAATTAAGAAAACAATTTTATTTATTCATGTTACATTTATTTTATGAGAAGCAGTTGATTGAAAGCTATTATTGTTTTAGCTATATATAAAAAGTGCCGTTTGATAGCGAATAAAAATAATGAAGAAAACAATTTTATTTATTCATGTTACATTTATTTTATGAGAAGCAGTTGATGGGGTGGGAGGAGGGGGAGGGGAGGGTGCGGTCAAATAAATACTAAATTATACAAATAGTATTATTTAATTTTTTTGCCGACGTTTCGACCCACTTTGCATGTCTTCATCAGGGCTACAAAAGATACAAAACAAGTGAAAATAAATTAAATGAATGTAAGTTGATATAAAATAAGAAGAAGTTGTCTGATAAAGAAATAAAAAGACATCAGAGATATAGTGGGTGATAATGTAGTTAAATATCAAGTATTATATCTATAGACGATAAAAACAAAAATGGAAAATTGTCACCCACTGTATCTCTGATATCATCTTTTTTTTTCTTTATCAGACAACTTCTTATTTTATATCTACTTATATTCATTTATTTTATTTTCACTTGTTCTGTATCTTTTGTAGCCCTGATGAAGACCTGCAAAGTGGGTCGAAACGTCGCCAAAAAAATTAAATAATACTATTTGTATGATTTAGTATTTATTTGACCTCATCCCCCGATCAACTGCTTCTCATATCATATCACGGTCAACCATCTCTACATCATTGAATACATTTATTTTAATTATTGTTTTATTATTGGAATATATTATTGTTTTAGCTATATATTAAAAGTGCCGTTTGATAGTGAAGAATCGTCTGGAATAGTATATGTGTGGATTGGCTCAAAAGCAAGCACAGATGACATTCGTCTCATTGGAGAGATTGCAGATGAAATGTTTAATAATGTAATTAATATTTAAAAAATATGGACATTCTACAAACTAGTTTTAAAAACATTGTTAGTCGTATTTTTTTATTTTTTTAGCCATGGATCAGTTTGCAAATTATTAATGAGGGTGAAGAACCAGATAATTTCTTTTGGGTTGCTCTTGGAGGGAAAAAGCCTTATGAGACAAATGCAGACTTCATGGCCTTTACTCGCCTGTTCAGATGCTCAAATGAAAAAGGTTATTTCACAGTTTCCGAAAAGTGTTCTGATTTTTGCCAGGTATTATTATTATTTATATTATGAAGTAGTGTAATATTGTGCAAATCGTATACTGATTTGAACAATTAGAAAGTATCGCTGATTTATTTTTTTAGGATGATTTAGCTGATGATGATATCATGATATTGGACAACGGTGAACAAGTTTTCTTATGGCTAGGTGCGAAATGTAGTGAAGTCGAAGTGAAATTAGCTTATAAATCTGCCCAGGTATGGATCTTTCTTATCAATTTTAATAATTTACTATTACAATTTTTTATAGCAGGAGACAATTTTTTTTTAGAGGAAGGAGATGGTCTGGGTTGGCGTTTAACTGAAACTCCTTGCTGAACGCACATCCCTGAAGAAGACCTGCAAAGTCGGGTCAAAACGTTGGCTTGAAATAAAATAGTTTTTCGACTATTTTAGTCCCTTTATGACCGCCACCCCCGACCATCTCCTTCCTCTAAAATATACAACAGTCAACCATTAAGTATTCAATATAACAGGTATAGTTCAGTTTCTAATGACAAGAGATCTCATACACTTCACTCAGAGCAGAAAAATAAAATTAACATGACTGCTCATGATGCTTTTGAGGATTCCAGTCTAAAAACCCAATTTAATTTTATCATATTATGTTAGTAAAAACTTTCAATCATTATCAAAAGGCTCTGGATTTGACCCTAGCTCTGAAAATATGGCAGTTGAGCAAATTATGAGATGTCATAGTTGGCATCTGAGGCAAGGTTACTAACTACGAGTTATTTACTTTGTGAGGTATTAATATATTGATGCATCTTAAAAAACCTGACTTAAATCTTTCTTGTTCATCTAGTAGAGATAGTCTTTTCACCTTGAAGGGAAAATTTCATTAGCTAATTAAATTAAAAAAAATAAAATGAAAAACATGTACCACTACAAACCATGAAGGGTTTTGGGTTCAGTACTATTTAGGGAAAGCACTGTTTCTTGGTCTATGGTTGTCCAAGGAGGTAATTTGACTGAGGTCACGCTCGACTGCCAGGTTTTCCCCTTAATTAATTATTTTAATCAAGGGTAGAATAGAATAGAAAATAATTTTATTCTGGGACGGACTCCCTTTAGAATAACATAAAAGTACAAAATTAAAATATTATATCTGGCCTAAATAAAAACAAACATAAAAAGTAAAAATAAAGAGACATAAGTAAAGAAAATATTAGTTAAACATACTATATACAAAAAAAAAAAAATAAAAATAACTACAAAACTCTTGAAACCATGCCAAGACACTTAAAACTTACCCACACTATGGTACCCACTTTAAAGAGGCTGGGTGTGCCCCAGGAGGGTCTACATACCCAAGGTCGCCCTACGCCCAATGCAACAGAATAAATAATTTTTCTGCCATGAGCCGAGATTTGAATCTGGGACCTTTAGCATTGGAAGCTCAGTACCCTACCTCTGAGCTATCCCACTCCCTAATTAAATTTTAAGTTTACCCAATATTACATAAAATTTCACTTACTATTATTGTATAGTGTATTTATTAGGATGAAAAAAAAAATTTCAGTAGACATTTTTATTGGGTTAGCCGACATTTCAACTCATGTTTTGTGTGCAAACCTCGTCTAATCCAATAAAAATACCGTCTGATATTCCTGAAAATTTTATTTCATCCTTATAATTGATTAGTTGACTTCTTTAATGTATTATTTATTGATTTGTTGATTTTATTTTTAAGGTTTACATTCATCCTTATAATTGATTAGTTGACATTTCATCCTTATAATTGATTAGTTAATTTTATTTTTAAGGTTTACATTCAACATTTACGAGTAAAGCAACCAGATCGACCGAGGAAATTGTTTTTAACTTTAAAAGGGAAAGAATCTAAACGATTTACGAAGTGCTTTCATGGTTGGGGCCCTCATAAGTCCCTTCCTCCTTAATGTTAAGATTTTTAAAAAAATATCTGTTAGAACAGATATTTCTGTGTACTATATTGAACAATTTTTTAACTTTTTTATTTTAATTTAAAAATAATTAATGGAAAAAAGACTTATGTACTTATGAAAATAATTAAAATTTATACTTTTAAATTTATTTATTAATTTATTTTTGCTTTTTATTTATATTAAAGTCTCTCTTTTTTATAGTGATGAGTAAATTATCTTGTTCTATTAATTATCCTCAAAATAGTTTCTCTATATGATAGTGACACTGTTAATTGTTATAAATATTATGTGTTTATAACATAACATTTTTCAACAATGTGAGAAGATTCTGCGTATTATGTACATTTGTATTTATAAACAACAAAAATATCTTCGGTTTATTGCAAAAAGTGACATTTCAGAAAATTAAATCACTACTTTCATGAATATTTCCTCTGAAATCAAAATATTGTGCACTCAGTGTAACTAATTAAATTAGATATATAAATTGTGTTTTTTTATGGATAAATAAGGTCAAAATTCCTGAAAACATATTTGGAAGTTCAACTTCATCAAAATTGTACTTGATGACTTTTTGCAATAAATCAATGATTTTCTTTTTTAAAAGGAATTTCTTAATTATAAAAAAATCTTGCCTTTTGAAAGCTGCTTTAAAATTGTTGAACGTTAATATTATCATTTGTAAATAATATAATTATGTAAACATGAATTTATGGGCTGTTATAAATACTAACAAAATATGTATTGTTTTATATTGTAAAAACAAATTTTATCAACTACATGTAAATGTAATTTTGTGTACATTAAATAAAATTTTTAATTAAGCAGTTTTTATGTTTGAAGAATAGATTAGTGTTTTTCAGCTGAAGTCGTGATGGATATAATTTTTTCTTTCTTTAAATCTTAATGGAATTGAGGAAAAGCAGAAAGAACTGGGGTCTAATTTAAAATTTATCATAATTGATTAATGAATTATTGAAGGAAGTTAGTCGACTGTTCTACATATCATGGGTGATAAGTATTCAGGACGCAGTCATTATAAGGTTTTTATTAGTGCCGTTTCAACCCAAACATGTGGGTCATCATCAGGGCGTGGTTTGAGCACTGAAGCACTGTTTGAGTACTTGAATATCTTCAGTGCTTGAACCATTGCATGATGATGACCCACACGTTTGGGTTGAAACATCAGCACTAATAAAAAACTTTATAATGACTGCGTTCTGAATATTTTATCACCCATAATTCATTAATCTTTCAATTTTTTTTTAAAATTTACAAAGCTCTTTAAAAACTCTATCAGTGATTAAGTTTTTTATTATTTTCCTTTATTGAAGATAGATTTTATCTAAATATTATGTAACTTCCACAATTTACTATATCCTTTTGTATTTTATCCGTTCTAGCCCTGAAGACCTGCAAAGTCGGGTGGAAACGTTGGCTTGAAATAAAATAGTTTTGCCACTATTTTAGTCTATTTATGACCGCCACTCTGGATCATCTCCTTACTATCAAATATAACAGTTAACTATTAAGTATTCAATATTTTACTTTTCTTCTTCATGGGCGTTACAACTCATCACAGAATCTTGGCCTCCTCAATTAATTTATCTCTCTCTTGCAGCAGTCCTCCTGTTAGCTAGTCCAAGAAGGGCTCTACCATCCATGCTGACCCCATCCATCCAGCGCAATCTAGGTCTTGTAATTTCGATGTAATTCTTCACTCTTCTTTTTGGACGCGTCAGCATAATTTTTCTGGTTGGGCTACTTTCATCCATCCTGGCTACTACATGACACTGTATTCTAATGAACCGGACTACATCTGCATCATTGTGGTGGCCAGTTTTGAATTACTCCACCTTCTCCAATTGTTACCTGAGCATGCTTGTCCATAATGCGACGTAGTACTTTTCTTTCAATGACCAGCTGCTTGTTTTCAACTGTTTTGGAGAAGCTCCAAGTTTCCGCTCCATATGTAAGGGCAGGATGAATCAGCATAGTAAGGGAAAGTGTTGTGATTATGAAAATTTTTGAATTCTTAGTTTTCAACCGAAATACATATTTTGATGTCCGCTGAGTCTAAATAACCATCTCGCAAAATGGTCTCTGTGTGTGAATAAACAGCCTAGCTCAAAAAGAGTCATATAAATAAGAAATTTAAATTATGTATATGCATTTTTATTAAAGTTATATTATTGATGTACAAGTAAATCCTTGTTGATTTAGTCAGTCAGGATTTAAATGGCGAATTTTCAAAATGACTCCTCTAACATATTTTCAATAAAATTTATTGGAAATAAATATATCTCTCTAATAAATATAATGGTTAGTCCTAATAAGAAATAGGGGGAATATAAATTATTAAAGAATTTTATAATGTACGTTAGAAAAATAAAAATAATCTCATTTTCCCAGGTTGTAATAAATATACTGTAATAAGATCAGTATTATTGGAACACTATAGATTTCAGAAACTTTAATATCTAAAATATAAAGTCTTAGGAGGTAATGAAAACAGAAATTATAAACAATAATTTCTTACCACTAATATTATTCAACAGAAAGTAAATGTTCCCATGGAATTTAAATGAAAGCTTTTTAAATTATTTTGACTAATGAAAAATATATATGCATTGAATTATTAGTATGGGAATTGTTTAAAAATATATTATCAAACTTTTGTGAGAGAAGTATGCTTTCGAAATAGAAAAAAAAACTTAAAAGAGCAATCAATCCACTGGGAGGAGAGAGTTATAGGATCCCATCTCATTCACAACTGCTTCAATAGTCAACTGTTGTTAAGGGTTAATTGTGACTGCTTTGTTATTAAAATACCTAACAAATAACTTGGAATTTTATTCTCAACTATGGCATTTTGTTCTAAGATTTAATTGTATATTTAATTTATAATAACCTATATATTTATTAAGATGATTCATGATTGAATTAAATATTGTTAGTATCAGCTATTTATTGGTATAAAATCTCACTTAATAGTCATTCATCTAAATGTTCTCACATTTAAGAAAAAAAAAAAAAAAGAGTTAAATTCCAGCAAAATAGACTTTGTTTCACTTAATTGTTCATATCTGAAGGTTTAAACAATGTAAAATTTCAATAAATTTTTTTGATAATTTTAAAATTGTTTTTTTAAGTTTGAATACTAGAAATAAAGTTATAGGGATTTATGATAATGATAAAAATTAAATTTTATAAAAATAATCAATGTTTAAACATAATGACCTTTCTATTGATATTTTTTCTACTTGACAAGATAGGAGTAGCAAAAAAAAAAAAAAAAAAAGAAATACATATATGCATATATTTATTTAATTGATATAATAGTTTGTTAAATATTTAGTTAATAATAATTATCACAAATTTGCATTCCTTTAAGAACAGTCCATGTTCAAACAAATACTGCTAACAGATTAAAAAAAAATCTTTTATTTAATTCTATGACTAGAATATTACACTTGAAAAGAAGTTTATATAGAGCAGCAAGAAGAAAAACATTCCAATACGCAGCATGCTGTAAAAAAAAAAAAAGTTAGATAGACATTGTGAACAGTACTATAAAGTAAACAAATAAAAATAAAGATAGCATCCATTGAATTAATTAAAACAAGACTTCCACATGAGGCTGATTAGACTAAAACATTTAATTTTCTGCTGAACGCGAGGACACACAAACTGACTTAATTTATAACAGCTCTTATGTTGGGTAATTTTAAGATATACTAGAAAAATAAAGATTTTATTCATGGTGTTTGTCCTCTTTATTGTATTTCTCTTGTTTGTTTTTCTATTTGTATTCTATACCCTCCAAACCCAATCAGCAGATAGCTCTCATTAATTTTATAAATTTCATAACGTATGAAAAACAATAGCACTTTTTGATCCATGTTTTCTTTGGCCTGAGTCATGGTCATTTGTTCTATACGCGTTTTAGTTTTCAAAAAGTAAAAAATGTTTCATACAAACGTATATAATTAGGTCATAAAAAGATGTAAGCCCTTATAAAAGGTATGTTACTAAACATATCAACACAGTTAATTTTTTTTTTTAACTGTAATAATATATTTTCTTGAACTCTCTCTTGTTGAAATCTAAGTTCTGAACACTATTTATGGTTGATTATTTGTAAATGAAAAGATTATACCATCTTTTAATTATAAATGCCTATCACATAATTCTTATTCTAATCCTGAAATGTTTAATGCTTTATTGTGAAAGTTGGTTCATAAAATAGACCTGTTCCTAACCTCATTCATGAAACCATCAATGGAAGTCCTTCATTCCATGAAGTGCATTCCTTTATTCAATGATTGAATCACCAATGACTAGGAAGTTCCATCAGTTTTGCGGGAAGATGGATCCACTGGATGTAACCTCATTATAACCTAAGTGTTGTTATTTCTTGATTTATGGACAAACTACCAAATCCAGTCCCAGCATCAGATGACAATTTTCTTTGATGATTATAATTTAGTGAGAGCCAAATATTACGATTAGATCATAAAAATGAATTTGGGTTGGTACAGATATGATATGAAACGGACAGTATGAATATGGTATTTTAATATTCATTGAAATTAAACATGTATGTAAATCATAAAATTATGAATACAAAAAATAAATATTTATGCAAATTGCTTCAATTAATATAAATGAAAAAAAGAAAGAGGAACAGTCTTTTACATTTTTGAACTACATTGTCGCGATGATATTACTTGAATTTGATCTGATGATTTGTTATAAAATTGATATGAAGAAAAACTTGTTTGAAATTTAGTGCCACAGCGGCTTCCGATGTCCAGTTTTCATCCACCAGATTGTGTAAGTTGGTTTTTAAAGCACGACTTGTTTACAAAAAGCTGGTACTGTTTTATCTTTGAAAATAAGAGTTCAAAATGGAAACTAATGAAATAGTGGTGAGACCTGGTAGAAGATAGTGTTTTCCTTGTTGTTTTTTTATGGTTCAGGGGTTGATCACTAAACATTTGAATTTCAAAACAGAAATAGAAAGTAAACTGATTATAAATCAAATTAAAAATAAGAAGATTGGGATTACTTCCTGCAGAACCACCAACCTCCAAAAACTTATGATACCACTGATTATTCAATCAAAGGAATGGGCTGAGTTCCATTTATGGATCCATTGATAAGTTTAGGATGACAAATTCGCAATGCCCATCAACGAACTCTGTACTTGGTTAGGAACCTACTCTTACTTTACCTGTTTATGTTTAGTTCACTTTCTATCTATATTTATTGGATGCAATATAGTTAAACAATCCAGTAATTAGTAACCATCAATTGGAATCGATCAGGTAGTTTCTAAACTCAGCATAAATAGCTGTCCATCGCTGATGTATTTAATTGGACGATTGACTAAATATAAACTAGACCACACAATTAAAAAAAACTGAACCAATAACCTTTAATTGGCAAGACTTGAGTGATTCTTGTGTAGCGCCAACATTAATTGTATAATAATCTAGAATTTAGATAAACAGTTATGTCTTGTACAGTTTGTAGGGATAGCTTATGAATGTGCTTCATAAAGAAAAATCTAGTACTGTTGCATAGTTTCTGGATATGCCTCTCATAAAACAGCAATAACTAGAAAGATCACTAATGATACAAGAACTAGGACAACCACACTTTAACACCATAATTGGTCACAATAGCTTATAGTCAAATCTCTACAATAGCTTATAGTCAAATATCAGATGAATGACCATAAGCTATTGTTTTTAATTCCGTTTATAATTTAAAGATATTGAAACTAGTAAACAAGTACTAAAACAACTTTTGTAGAAATGGTTCATGAAAGAAGAGGA